AGCAGTGCCATGTGTCACTCGGCACACGTTTCTAGGTTTCTACCATGTCCAGGCTCTGTCTGTGCTGCTGTAGGCGAAAATACTGCAGGACAGAGCACCCTGGCCCCTGGGGGGTCTCCCATCCACGGGGAATTCAGAAGGAAGCCTGAGACTTTCCCATCAAGGTAAAAGTTAAGCCAGCAGACGTTACGAAGGAAGAGCACGCCAGGCTCTGAAGATGTGGCACAGAGGTCCCGGGAAGATGTCCCTAGGCAGTGACATTTGAGCTGAGATCTTTGATCCAGGTAGGTGAGAGGCTGAAGAGAAACAGGGCCTCAAGTTCATGACGAGGTCACAGAGAGGACCTGAGTGTTCAAAGCTACGTCCCTGTCCCTCCCAGCCTTTAATGGCTTCATACCCCTTGGAGCCTCCCTTAGGGCACCATGAGGCCCTGTTGGGAACCTGCAGGAATGGAGCCAGGAATGGTTGGGAAAGGCACAGACAGACCACAGCTCAGCAGGAAGCCAGAAGTGTCTCCAGGGACACGGCCATGACACTTTGTCACTAAGTTTTGGACGAAATGGGTGACACCACCTCAAGTCAGCACCCCACCAGGCAGGTGAAGAAGAGCACAGACAAACTGCCCGGGGCACCTTCTGGCACATCCTGCCATCACCCGCTGCTGTCCAACTAACTGCCTCTCTCAGACAGGTGTGCCCCGAGAGGATGCTCCTGGGGCAGCCAGGAGGTGACAGCAGGTGACTGCTCGCTCTCCCTTGAGGCTGAGGAGAGATGGAGAAATCCTTGTTCCCTAGAGACTCCTGTATCTACAACCCAGCTGGCAAGGGTGGACAAACACACCTAGCAGTTCCAGAGGCAGAGGCACTCGAAGACCTGCTGCCAAAGAGTTGGGGCTCTACACCATAGAGTGCCCCCACAGAGATGATCATCTGCTACTGGGACACAGCGGGGACCACGGGGGACTAAGGGCATACCGCACAATGAAGGCATGGACCCACGGGACTCCAGGTACACCGAGTGCCTAGGGAATGGCCGTGGAAGGCTATGTGCTTTGTGACACACTGAGAGAGAGAGAGAGAGAGAGAGAGAGAGAGAGAGAGAGAGAGAGAGAGAGAGAGAGAGAGAGAGAGAGAGAGACAGGGGACTGTGGCCTGCTGCACAATGAGGGGTGCAGCTGAACCCCAGCTGCAGGGATCTGCTCCCTGCAGTCAGCCCACGCGTGGCCAGAAATCACTCCTCTAGTGACAGGCGAGTCAGACGGGTGGGAAGTGGAGCAGCTGTGGCTCCGTGGCTGAAAACTCTGCCATTGGAGCTGAGTCAGGACAAACGTTTGCTTCCCTAACAAACCTAAGTGGAGAGTACAGTGCAGGGCTGGCCTTGCGTTCACCACTGCGGGGGAAGGGCTTGCCCTGTCCTGTCTCCAGGGCGCCCTCCGTGTTTGAGTCCTCTGACGTTCTGCCATGGCTGCTGGAGCTCTATCCTGAACGTCAGCATCCCATCAGCCTGTGGCAGGAAGGCCACCAACCTACCTGATTCTAGTCTGACTGTCCTAGCCCCCTTCCAGCGTGGGTACCAGCTTCATGCTGAGTCACAGTAGCCATGGCTTACGTCCTGAGATGTACCCTGAGAGAGGCGAAGGCATGCTCCCAGCATGGCCAGAGGAGAGGAAGGATGTCATGTGCACCAGTCCCCGGCCCATGGGGAAGGAGCCTGGCCAGTGTCCATTCACAGCACACAGCAAGAGAGGAGGATGACCATGCCTTTAGAACGAACAATGGAAGCCCGGAGAGCTGCAAAAGCAGACACAGAGCAGGAGGCCGCATGCAGCCTAGCTGAGTTCACATCTGCAGACCCAAAGGATGCAGAAGCAGCTGCGGGGCCAATTACAGGGCAGCTGAGCTAGAGGCAGGAGGTGCCAGGGTCCTGGTTCCCTGGACAGACTCCATTAGGCCCATCCTTTCTTCCTGATTAAATCTCCTCTAAGTGCAGCCTTCCTACGGGAGAGAGAGAGCCACAGGGCCACAGGTGGTATCCCCTGGAGCCCTGCCTCAGCTTCAAGCCAGAGATGATGTGTGGTACAGTCCTTCCTGCCATAGTGCCATCCTGGGGCCCCTGCAGTGACCCACCAGGGGCCCTGTTCTCTCCCAGTAGTGGCCCCAGAGGGGCTCCAAGGTGCATCCAAGAGGGGGTTCCATGATGCATCCAAGAGCAGCTGTGCCCCAGTCAGGGACTTGGGTCTCACTCAGCCATCTTACCTACCAACTGTAACTAGAAGCTTCTCTGTACCGCACCTGTGGACCTGGAATTGACAACACAATGTCCCTGGAAAATAGAGACTGCCACCCTTGCAGCTCAGGGACTGAGGGTGAAATGACAGAGATGGACCATCCAGTGGTGGCACACACCCTTAATCCTAGCACTCAGGAAGCAGAGACAGCCAGATTTCTGAGTTCAAGGCCAGCCTGATCTACAGTGTGAGTTCCAGGATAGCCAGGGCTACACAAGGAAACCCTGGCTTGAAAACGAAATAGATTTAAAAAAAAAAAGATATTGGTTAATATCTTAAGTGCCATCATGGAAAAGGAACAAAGCACGCAAAACAGATGGGAGAGGTCAATAGGAAGACATAAAAGTGACTATCAGTATAAATTGCCTCCACTTAAAGTTCTTCCATAGCAACGAAGAGGCCTCTAACGGCATGGAGACTCCAGACAGTCAGGGAAGGAGTGGGCGGTTTGTAACCAGACTGAGAAACTTCCCAAACAGATACACCAGAGAAGAGAAGGTGTTCTAAGAGCACGGGCCTGGGTGGCAGCTATGAAAGAGGAAGCTGTGTGAACCTGGGAAGAGACTGCAATGTGCATGTGTGTACATGTGTGTGTGCATGTGTGTAAAAATAATGACTGGGCCAGTGATGAGTGGCTCACTTGGTAAAGGTACTTGATGCTAAGCCTGACAACCTGAGTTCATCTTCAGAACCTGCATGGTGGAAGGAGAAAACCAACACCAACAAATTGTCCTCTGATTCCCATAATGAGCTCCAGCTGGGCTGGTTCTGTGTCTCTGTCTCTCTCAATGTAATTTTTAAAAATAAGGATAGGAGCTAGAGAAATGGTTCGGAGCTTAAGAGCACTTTCTGCTCTTGCAGAGGACTGGGTTTGAGTCTCCAGCACCCACATGGTGGCTCACAACCATCTGTAACATTAGCTCCAGGAGACTGATGCCCTCTTCTGGCCTCCTTGGCTACTGCACACACATGGTGCACAGACACAGATGCAGGCAAAAGCACCATTATACATAAAGATGCTTAAATAATATAATGTTTCCAAGTAAAATGAATAAGGTAAATGGTAATGATTGAGAGCTTCCCAGCATACCAATCACAGAGGCAGGAAGCACACATGGAGCAACTCTCTCTCTCTCTCTCTCTCTCTCTCTCTCTCTCTCTCTCTCTCTCTCTCTCTCTCTCTCTCACACACACACACACACACACACACACACTCAGAAAGTCAACCAACAACCAAGATACATCATTAAAATTGTGCACACTTCAAGTAAACTCTTCCTTAGGTCAGAAGGCAGGGAGCCCAGATAATCCACAAAGCATCAAGAATAGTATTATAGGGGATTGCCTACCAACTCTGCTCAGGAAGATGGGGGAGAGTAATATTTGATCAATTGAAAGAGGAAAACACGCCAGTGTTGAATTATATAATTCTAGCAAAATCATCCTATGAGGAAAGTCAGCTCTATCTCAGACAAGCGGATGGGGGAACCGGTACTCAGCACTTCCTCCAGAAAGTACAAAGTGATAGTGTCGGATATAAACCCTAATTGGCATGAAGAACAGGATCCTAGTAGTGGGATATCCAAGAAGAAATCAGGGAAGGTGGGATAGAGCACCGTTTTGCTTCCTAATTGATTTAAGAACTGGCCATTCAGCTACAGCAGCACTGCAGCAGCATTGCTTTATTGAGTTTTGTCTCTTACAGTTTCTGCTACCTGTGGTCTACCACAGGCTAAAAATATGAAACAAAAACAAAACCCCAAAAATAAATAATCGATTTTTTTAACTGCATGCCCTAAAATCTCACATGGTCCTGTTCCATCTGCCTGGGATTCAGATCTTCCTTCTGTCTGGTGTCTCCATGCCATATATGCCTCCTGCCTGTTAGCTGGACGTAGCCACACCCTGTATGCTTCCTGCTCACCCATGAAGCACATGCCCCACCACTTACGTGATAGATTCAGCAGTGTATGGTATCCACACCGTATACGTCCCTGCTTGTCGGTCTGTCACACCCACGCCTCATATGCTGCCACCTGCCAATCACCCAGCAGCCTTGGTCATGAGATCAACAGCGATCGGTTCAAAAATGCTTCTCTAGGAGGCTAGCGCTATGCTATGATGCCCAGGTCATCACCATGTCTCAACTGGTCTCATAGGCATGTGTCACCCCACACCCTCCCAGGAAGAAAACACAGACATCGTGCAAATTAAGAGAGATATCAGAGTCGCACCTCTCCTGGCATTGGCGTAGTTTGGTCATTACTATTGCTATCAGTCTCTTACTATGACTTTAAGTGACCAATGACTGACTACAGTTCAGCAGGCTGGGCCAACCGTAAGGGAGGCTGGTGGAATGAAACATCCGCTAGCTGCACATCAGCCGAACTCTCAAGCATTAGCCCAAACCTCGCTCTGCCACCAAGAGCCGATTTTAGCAGAGTAAAGCAGCAGCATGCTGCAGCCAACGAGAAAAATGCATTTGGAAGGACTGTCTACTGCAGCAAACAGCCTAGGGGGACCTAAGCTAGGCAGTACCCTCTGTTGCCCCCTCCCTTCCCAAGCCTGCTGTTTGCCCTGAGGTGTTCACACCCACCCCCGGGACACAGACCCACGGGCTGGAATATACTAGGTATAGAGTAGGCACTGGGGATTTGTGACAGCATCCTGTTTGGGTGCCACTAAGCACAGATTGTGAAGCCCAGCACTCTAGTTAAGGACATTAAGAGTTTATTTCATCAAAATCGCAACATGTCTTCACTATAGCAGCAACTCATCATCTTCCCTCTGCTGTAAACTACTCACACACACCATTCTTCCTAATTTATACGGGGCCAAATTACACACAGATAATAAATGATTGCAGAAGCCAAAGTAGGTAGCCTATAAATAAACCACACGCTTTCACTCACTGGAAACGGGAAGCCGAGACGGGGTTTGCTCTTGACTTCTCTTGATATATCAGCTACATAAGAGCGAGGATTACAAAAAGCCAGAAACTGAGAATCCCACTGGGAATGAAGACCGTTCTGGCCTGCCTTGCCTCAGTGGGAGCCCAGCATGCATGGGGGGCTTACAGTGTTCTCACTACTGGGAGCTCAGCAAGGCAGGTCGGACCCTGGGTCACTGGTGTCTGGTTTGAGGCGTAGTGAGATGCTGAGCAGTGACCACACACATTCTATAGACAGGACTTCTCACCAAACACAGAGTCTTGGCACAGCCTCAGGTTGTGTTGGCCAAAGGGGCTGCAGGAGGGTGGGTCACAGGGCCCCAGTTGGCTGATAGATTTAAGTCCTGGCTTGGACGGAACAAAGTCTGATCCTGTGGCCTTATGGCTTCTGGAAGAGATGCCTGCATGGGGACTGTCACTTGAGGGCTGGGGTGTGGCTCAGTGTGGAGTGCTTGCCTGGCTATGCCAGGCCCTGCCCTGACTCCACTTCACTGCAGTGGAGAAAAAAAAAAAAAACAAGTTAAGCCAAAAAGATCCATAGAACTGAGTTCGAACATGTTCTAAAGCCAAGAGAGAGTGGGGGTAGGGGCTCAAGGATGTCATGGGAAGAGAGGGTTTTCCAGTATTGGGGCCAGACTGGCTATCTGGGCCATGCATGTCACAGACACTTATGTTTCTGTCACACTAGTTGGTCCTTCACAGCCTGTTCCATAATTCTCTGTGATTCCCCACCCACATGAGGGTCTTGGTGACATGCAGTTGTCACAATGACTGTACTTTCCCAGGACCAAGTCTGATTTTGTCCACTCACACCAACCCAAAAGCCTCCAGTGGTCACCCTGCCTAGCAGTAGGGACTTGGTATGGTCACTAATGAGAAGAAATCAGTCTCTACAATGTGATTGGTCTGGTGTATGACAAGAGGGACATCCAATGTCTGAGCTGTCTGGTGTCTCGTTGGCTCTTATACAGAGGTGACATGTCTAAGTAACAAGAAAGCAGACCATAGGGGTGGCTAGACCCCCAGAAAACCAGGAGATACAGACGCAGGCAGATACCCAGCATGGAATCTCAGCCCTGGAGGAGGAAGTGGACAGGAAAGAGGCTCATGTTTGAAGAAGGCATCCAAAGGCTGACTCTGACGGTCCAGCGAGGCACACCTTGCAACAACAGGCTGAGTCATTTCCTATGCAGTGGCTCCGTTAGGCTGTCTTCACAAGGTTCCATACACAGGATAGTGGGAGACTCCAGGCAGGCAAAGGCAGAGACCCCAGAACTGATGCACAGCTAGGGTGGGAGGTGGCCCAGTTAGTGTCCCCTTATATGAAGATGGCCATTCCAATTGATACTGGCATCATTGCTACCTCTGTTGACCCTCTGGAGACACAGAGGACCTTAAGTACCCCTCAGGACTCTGAGTCTCCATGAAGGCTGAGGCCATGCCTTCTGGTAGCTGCATCCTTACATCTCATTTACCACAGTCTTGCTGGTACGGTGCTCTGTGCGCATGGTAACAAGGGAGGTTCACACTCTGGCTACATTGCGCTCTGGTGTCCACAGAGAATAGAAGTGCCTACCCCATCAGGGAAGACAGGCTGCACCATGGCTGGCCACACCACCCTGAGTCAACTTGCAGTGCTAGGCAGGACACTCTGCACAGGCATAGGTCGGGGCCGTGATCCCAGGTCGAGGCAGCAAGGGGAGGGACCCATGACGGAGGCAGGATGTGCATTTGTTCTCTGCTTCGGGGGAGGCACTTGTTTTGAGTGGCAGCTACCCTGATCACACAGCGGATAGGTCCACACGGTGGGCAGAATGGCTGCTCTTGTCCCATGGGCTTAACTTTGTAGATGCCATGCCTGGCCGGGGCCCGTTGACCTACGAGACACAAGGGCAAGCGTGAAGACAATTTCAAGACGTAGAATTCAGTCCATGTGAATACAAAAAGCTTTGGGCCCGGGGCCATGTGAGGATCTGGGGTCCCACTTCTGAGACACCGGCTCTGAACACCCAGAGTCTAGACCAGAACACCTCTTGCAAGTTCCTATCCCACCAAGACCAGCTTCTATGCTTATCACCAGTCAGTCAGGTGAACTCTCTTCATGGAACATGCCATGCACCAAGAACTTGCGATAAGGGGAGGGGCTACTAGACAAAGCTAGGGTTCATCTTTGCTCTCATGAGTTGTTAATTCCCGAGAAGGGGACAGACAATGGCCATTAGGCCAATGGCTGAGGTAGGAGTTTGACCATGAGTCGGTGACACTTTTACCTAGTGCCATTCAAGGAGGAAACACTAGAGCAGTGAGTGGTTCTCAACCTGTGGGCCTTGACCCCTTTTGGGATTGCCTATCATATATCCCACATATCTGATATTTACATTATGATTCATAACAGTAGCAAAATTACCATTACAAAGCAGCAACAAGAATAATTTTATGGTACGGGGGGGGGGGGGGAGCGGTCACCACAACACAAGGAGCTGCATTAAAGGGTGGCGGCATTAGGAAGGTTGAGAACCACTGCCCTAGAGCAAGGGGTTAGCAGATGGCAGATAAAGGGACTACTTCTCAGGCTAGACCCTCCCGGGGCTGGAGAAGAGGGAGCTGTGGGTGTTTTAACAACGGCTCGCAGCGCTATGCACCCTCCATCAAGCAGAGGCTATGTCTGCCTGGGAAGCAGGCCTGAAGCCAGGTCAGTGTCCAGGATTGCTGGTCCAAGTAACAGCCGCACTAACAAGGGCCCTGAGGATGGTGAGGAGAAGGATGAAGGCGCTTGGTACAGGTTTAGTGAAGCCAGGAAGGGACTCAGGAAGACATGTCATATTGTACTCACGATGTCAGAACTGAAGGGTTTGGTGTTTGTGGTACGGGCCGAGCTGCTCGTGAGGGACCAGACCTTGGTCTTGTGCTTGAAGGCTGCTCTCACCTTCAAAAGCAGAAGAAGGAGCCTTAGAGGGAACTCCAGAGGCTGACACAGCAAATTCTCAGGGGGCATTGCCAACAGCCTCTAGAGACTTGCTGGGACGTGAGCCCCAAGTACCCAACGTGAGGGCAGGGCATCAAAGTTGGTACCAGTATGGAATCGACATCAGAGTCCGTGGTTCCTCAGCAGAGCCTGACAAAGGCTGTAGTACCCCCAGACAACGCTGCCCTTCTCTCTGTGCCCTTATGAAAGTGAAAAGCTACTTGGAGCTGTCAGGGGGTGGGAAGGATGGACATACCTCTGAGTTTAGGAGACAGTGAAAGAGGAAGATGAAGAGACCCTGGGAAGGAAGGGGAGAGATGGCGTCAGATTCACACATTGACATGAGGTCCTTTCATCACTCAAGCCTGAAGCTGGCAGGGGCACAGCTCACTGTGGGGGCTTGCTGTGACCTGGAGCCTAGGGCCCAAAGCCCCAGGGAAGGGGTTCAATTCATGGAGGGATGAAGGCCCAACTTCCAAGCAGAGAACACCAGACTCTGCTTTAATGGGGCATTGGTATTCACACCCGGCAGGGATGATGGGAGCCCACCGTGTTACCAGCCTGCTGGCCTGCAGGCTCTTCTTACCTGTAAGGAGTTGAGTACAGCAAACATGTATTGGAAGACCAGGGCCCGGTCACTGACAGCAAGCACCCCAAACACCCATGAGGTTCCCAGGATGGGTAGCAACACAGCAACAGCCTTGGCTGTCAACCTGGAGCAGAGGTGGTGACATTCATGTTAGCAGTGGGCAGGCAGACCAGGCCAGGAGGACCTCAGGGTGCCAGGTCTGCTGTGAGCAGAAACGGCTCGGTGGGGAATGAGGCTGGGTTGTCCGTGGGCATTTGAGGGCACGGTGAGCAGTGCTTTGCACTGTAGATCTGCAGGCACCAACCTGCCGTCCCAGAGTACACTTATCTCTGAAGCTCCACAGAGCCCAGATAGGGCCAAAACTTGGCAGTGCTTCGGCAGAAAGAGGCAGGGGTGAAAGGCAACTCCTGGCTGGGCTCTGGTTGGCGTACAAATGTTCTGGGCACAGTGACAGCCTTGGTACTGCAGGTGCCAGTGTAAGATAGGAGCAAAAGCCTGGGCTGGGTATGAGAGCTGGGGACTGTAGCATGGGTTCTAATTGGTCTTAATAATAAAAGCCCAGAGTCACATATAGGGGTAAATGCTGAAAGATTGGAGTGACAAAAGGAGCAAGTCACAGCCACACCGTACCTTGCTAACTTTCCAGATGAAAACAAAGACTGACCTCCTGTCTCCTCCTGCCTTATCACTTCCTCTCTCAGCCCAGCCATATCACTTCCTGTTTGTCTGTACAGACCTCCTGGCCTCTATGGTTAACTAGTGGCTAGCTCTGCCCTCTGATCTTCAGGCAAGCTTTATTTGTTAGAGTATAAACAAGATATCACTGCAGCAGACAGATGGCAACTCTGATCACTGAAGTCCTTAGGGCTGGGGGTGGAGTGAGGAAGAACAGGCCTCCTGGTCAGGCAGGCATGCAGGGGACAGACCCAGGCTCTCCCACCCCTCAGATGGAAATGGAAAGGAAATACTCCTGACCCTCATGAACTTCTCATCCAGGCACAGCCGAGAAGGTTCCAGGGGCTGAAGAAGCCCAAGAGAGTTGCCTCCACTTGTCAAGTTAATTTATGGGGTTTAGAATAATTATCTCATTGATTTGCTGTTGCCCGTGCATAGATTTTTGCTCCATACACTGTTTTTAAAGTCACTGTGCCCTAGTGGTTTCTACAGGAGCTCCCGAATCACCTGTGAGGGGGCCCTTAGCCATGATCCTTAGGCTTCAGGGTGCTGACAGTTCCCTATGGTCATGGGGGACTATGAGTATTGGGTCCATGAGTCCCATAGTGATTCCTATCCACATTGGGCACAAGGCCTGATCACTGTCACCATAGTCTCCTCCCCCAACTCCCTCCTCTTACAGGAAGCAAGACACTCTCCCAAAGAGGACACTGACCTCTGCTGTTCTGCCTCTAGGAGGGGGTAGGGATTTAGGCGTGAAACCCATTCAGAGGAGAGGCACAAAGTGGGAATTGAGCCCAGAAGGCTGTATCTCAATGTATGGGGTATCTTTATAGGCTCAGAACTTCATGGTCACTGCATTTCCTTCGGCCACATCCAGCAGCGTAGGTTTTTTCTGACATTTGTCGCCGGCAGGCCCCAGTAGATAAATACCAGGAACCCAGGTAACCTCAATCGGCATGTCATTCCCACGGCAGGGGGTACTTCCAAAGACCCCTCCCCCTTTAGTGGCAGCCCGGTGTGCATGGAACACTGCTTTCGAGGTGTTCGCTCACACCGCATCCCAAGAAGAGGCCCTGATCTCCCCTTTCCTCTGTGGAGGAAGTGAAGGAACCAGAAGTCAGATTTCCATCTCTAGGGTCTTCCTTTCCCCTCCCTCCAGCTGTCTCTTATTTTGGCTAGAGAGGTCCGCAGATGGCATCTACATACGGCTGGGCTGCATTAGGACCTCATCTTGTGTCACCAGGAGTAAGTAGGATAAGGACCCAAACCAACCAAGTCTGGCCACGTAGGCCTTGAGAATACAGAGCCAACTGAAGACTCAGGTGCTGGTCCTGGGGAGAAACATTGTCGTCCCCCCCAAGCCTCTAGAAGCCCCCAAGGGCAGAGCAGTGAGATGTGGACAGTTGGGGTCACTTACTTGAAGGCACTGGGGTCCCCATGTATCTTGTAGTTGTCGGTGCTGACGTGGGAAATGACCCTCGTCACAGCTACCAGAATAACAATGTTGACCTGGGATGGAGGAGAGGGAGGCAGTGAGGGGCCGTGGTTCACCCACAGGACACAGGAACGTGCCCCACAGCAGCCACTGCTCAGCCAGCAGGGAACACAGCTGGGACGAATTCAAGCCAGGTCTCCAGGCTTTAAGCAGGACAGGGAGGCTACATAAACGTACCCCACAAGCATTGTGGCAGGGAGAATGAGTGTGACCTTTGGGGTCAGATGAGCCAGTCAGAGCTCATCTCATGCTTGCTCACTCTGTCTGACCCTGGACACTTCTGTGTGTCCTGGAAATCTCTGCCTCCCGCAGAGCAAAAGATTGACTGCTGCAAACTAGCCACGGAAAGAGGAGATGCCTCATTTGTCCAGTCCACACATGGCAGCTGACTCTCATGACCCGTATACCAGTGTGATGTTTGGAAGCCACAGCAGGGGGGCATGTTGTGTATGCTACTGCTCCAGGGTGGGGACTTGGGGACATGCTGGGTGGCTCCCACGCTGGGCCAGCACTCAGGAGTCGTAGGCTCTAGCTCAGTTCCTCCCTCTGCCAGCAGCGCTTCTGAATCCTAAATATTAAGAGGCAAGGTGGGACTGGACTAGCAGAGGGAATGACTCCCAGTGTCTATCAACTTGAGGGCCCCCTCCCTCCACCCCCCCCCCCCCGCCGTGAGTTGTGAGAGCTGTGCCAGAGCCCATTCCCTTAAGTGTTAAAATCTTCATCAGGCAGCCAGCTCCAGGCTCGTGACCTTAGAACTGACAGAGGATTCACCACCAGGCCTCCCAGGAGGCTGCTGGCCTGTCCAGCCTTGTGCACAGCTAGACCTGGCAATGCTGGAGAGGCCTGCAGTCAAGACCTCCAATGTCACAGCCTTGCGGCAACATGCCCGCATCATCAGTAGCTGAGGTGGCTGCTTCCCCAGCCATTAAGAGACCCTCTCTGCGGAGAATGCCTGGTTTGGGGGGACTTGAGATGCTTCCCCCTCTCTGATTCCAGTTGGTAATTTTCCACTCCAGCCCTCCCCCTCTGCTTCCTCCCAGCTCCCATCAGTCATCCAGAGCCTTTTGTTAAAGGTTTTCAGCTGAGACAATTCTGGGTCTGTGCTACGCCGGGAAAATGAGGCACTGTGGGTACCTTGCCTGTCCTGTCTAGACTCTTGCTTATGCTACCATCAGACATGAACAAAAGCTTAACTGTCACTTTCCCTTGCTGCTTTGTTGCCCTGGGTTACAACAGAGTCTCCCAAGGTCGGAGAAGATGAGCGAGGTTAATGCATAACCAGCTAGCACAGTGTCACGCAGTGTCCAGTAACTCAGGGCCCTCTAGCCTTCCTACAACCCATGACAATGGCCAGAAAACCACATCTGACAGGAGCAAGGAGAGGTAGTGGGAGTGGTGGACCACGGGCTTTTAGACTTAGCTATACTCCCACTTGGACAGTGACAGAAGTCAGAGCAGGCTATGTGTGGTGACAGATTCAAGGGGTAGGGTTGTCCCCTCAGACCACTGTGGCTATTGACACCTGAGAGCATCCTGCTGTCTTCAGTCACGGTGCCCCAGACTGCCTGCCCAATGTCCACTCTGTCACCGTGGGAGTGGAGAGGGGACATCCCCCTCACAAAATCATAGACCCTTCTGGCCCTCCTGAGATGCAATAGATTTTCTCGGGGGAAAAATAATAATAAATGCTTTTTCGTTTGTATGCCTTTGGTTCATTTCCAGAGTGCTGGGTTTTAAGCAACACAATTCTTCTTGCTGTCCCCTGATTTGGGGGATAGAGTTGGTTCCTTTCCCATTGGCATGCTGCCAGCCTGCCCCTTTCACTTTGGGAATTTATAGCTTGGCTACCTCACACACCTGCAAAGGCTGTTGGCTGATAATTGGGAGCAAATTGGTTATGCACTAGTGGCCTGCAGATGTGCACCACGGGGGCTGTATAGGCCATACCTACGACGCAGCCATGGCCCCTTTTCCCGCCTAACTCCCCGAAGGTCCTGTGTCCCTCGGAGGAGACACTGCTGGGGTGAAGATGCAGATGGAGGTGTCCAGTCTGAAAAAGACTCATGGTGACGGGGAAGCTAGTCCCAAGCCTGCTCCCTAGAGACAGTCCATACTGGGGAATGGAGGAGTAGATGTGGACAAAGATTGTTCATATATTCAGAGTTTTTCATACATTCCTAAAATTTTCTCTCAACCCTGTCTATTACAAATTTAAAAATCAGATTGCCTGAGTACTTTTTAATTTGGAGCAATTATAAATTAAAAGGAAAGTTACTCGAAACCCATTTTCAGTGAACATGTCAACAGCATCCTTGGCTGAGGGTCATGAAAGTATTTAACTGGGCTAGGTTCTAGTGACTCAGGGGTGGTGATGGGCTTGGGGAAGGGCCAGTGGGATGCTGCCTGTGGGAGAGATTCTGATACCTGGTGTGAGGTCAGAGGTCACACTAACCAACTCCTCACGGGAGCTGAGAGGCTACATCGTGACAAGCAGACCACATGAGCTCACAGTCACAGCACCTTCTCCAGACAGTGTAAAAGGTGATTCCATCCCAGATCTCCTTAGACCAAAGACCAGAGATGTAGCCCCACATTCCCAGGCTTCTTAAACCAGGCTTCCAACAGAGCGATCAACTCATGACAGAGTGTTTCAAAGTTGCTCACATTGCTCAGTCTCCTCTCATCACCATTTCTCTTTTTGTGTTTTTCCAGGTTTGATTTCTTCCCTCCACACAGCCTAGGTGTGGCTGGTGTCATTTGGAAGCCTTGGACCTGGCCCACCGTATCGGTAGTGCTTATCTACGTGTCTGTGGTTTTGCATCTGTTGCTGTGCCAGGACCGTCCTGTCGGCAGCAGCACGGAGGGGGAGGGGGTGGCTTGCTGCATCTGTGTAGTGATTCAAGCCAATGGCTTATAAACAACATAATTTAGACTTTCACAGAAATACAAAGCAGGGTGGGTCTGGCCTCTGGGATCCATTCTGCTCACTGGGGCCCATGATCTTGAAGAACTAGGAAGGCCTGGTTTGGTTGAGAAGCTGTGTGACGTGACTATCAGGAATTTGCAGCAATTTTTGTGACCTGTCAAGATGGGGACAAACCACTGAGGGCAAACATCAAAGAAACAATTCCAAGCTGCATTTCAGAATAGAAAAATAAAGCTGCACACCAGGCAATCAAACATAAAGCCAAGCACAGGCCAAGATGACCTGGGAAAAGATCATGGTGGCCTCTGGGGGATGAAGAAGGAATGGCAGGTGAGGCCTCAGGAGTTGGGCAGACTCTGCAGCTCTGTCAACTCAGGGTCATCTAGGAGCTTGTTAAAAAAACAAAAAGCAAAAAACATAGGGATGCACACCAGTGGCTTACAGAGAGAAGCTATCCACATCTGCACACACATACATAATTTATAGTGTCCCCAGTGGTACGATGTGTGCTGGAATCCCCGTGTCTGTGTCTGCCTGGGAACTCTAGGTACAGCCTTGCATGGGGCTCTGGACTTACATGCCTATAGCTCTGTATAGCTGTAGGTCTACCTGCCTACAGCCCTGTCTATAACGTGTCTACGTGGCTGTAATTCTGTGTCTGTAGCTATGAATCTATGGGCCTGTGGCTCTGTGACTATATCTGTGACTCTATGTCTGTAGCTCTATCTATCTATCTGTCTGCCTGTATACATACATATATACATACATACATGCATACATACATATATGGACCTGTAGCTCTGTGGATCTATAGACTTGTAGACTTGTGTATCTGTGGATCTATGGACCTATATCTCTGTGTATCTGTGGATCTATGAGACTGTAGCTCTGTAGATCTATGGATCTATGGACCTTGTGGATTTGTGGATCTAAGGAACTATAGTTCTGTGTACCTGGATCTATGGGCCTATAGCCTTGTATACCTGTGGATTTATGGACCTATAGCTCTTACTGCATCTACCTATTCATGTGTCTATACTTGACTTCTCAGGGAAGACAAGGATTTTGAGTACTAGAATCTCTTCCTCATACCTAGAGGCATTGTCCTCCTTTATTTGTTGAGACAGGCACAGACCAAGCCACCATGGGGCACAGGCTGCAGTACCCATTCTCTTCCTGAAGTCTCCCTTCTTGGTGGAAGGGGGGAGGGGTGGCAGTGTCCATGCTCTTTGGGCTGACCTGCATTCCCTTGTGGCCAAGCTCCTACCGCAGAACCACAAACTATCACTGCATTTTGAGGTAGGGCATTCAGAGAGGTGACGTAGTAGAATGAGGTCGTTTGCATGGGTTGTGGTCAAACAGAGCTATGGCCTCCCACAGGCAAATGGCCAAGGAGAGAGAAAAGCAGAGGAGCTGACCCTCTGAGCCTTTGATTTCAGATAGCTGGCTTCTGTGACAATAAGAAAATAAGTGCCCTGGTCTATGGTACTTTCTTGCAAGATCTTGAGCAGATGAAGCCCTGGGGAACTGCTGGTCCATTGGACAGGGCTACATTTAGCATCATTTAGTTGGATGGTGGGTCCTGATGCTGGGGGCTCCGTTCTGCTTTTCTCCTTTAGTTCAGGGTCTAGGTGGCTAGCTACTGCCCACAACCTCCTGTACCTGCAGCCTAACTCTCACTAGTACAACCTCCTGCACCTGCAGCCTAGCCCTGGCTAGTGCAAGGAAAGCTACACATTCTGACACACATATCCTACTTTCTAAAATGGCTTTACTTTAAAAGTTTGCAAGCCAGCAACGTGATGATGGTGCACCCTTTCAATCCCAGCGCTCGGGAGGCAGAGGCAGGTGGATCTCTGAGTTCAAGGCCAGCCTGGTCTACAGAGTCAGTCTCAAGACAGCCAGGGCTACACAGAAAAATCCTGTCTCGAAAAACTGGGGGGATTCTGCACTTAAGAGAACGTACTGCTCTTGCTAATGACCTGAGGTTGGTTCCTACATCTACACTGGGTGCCTCATAATTGACTGTAACTCCAGCTCTAGGGAATTCAACACTTCCAGCCTCTGTGGGCACCTGCACCCACATTCATGTGCACAAAGATAACACCCATCTGTAAAATTAAAAATAATAAGAATAAATCTTTACAAGTGTGCTAGCCTTGCAGGGTGTTTTCAGATGCATATAAAGTCTAAGCATGGGGCAGTAGACCCACACTGCTCCCTAGGGAGCCGCCATTCAGGAGTATCCGCCCCACATTTTCTCATCAATTTCCCACTTGCATGAGAATAAGTGCCCGTGGAGAGCTTTTACACAAATGGGGTCAGGCCACGCTTGACATCCAAAACTTGCTTCCTTCATTTGGAAGTAAGGCAGAGAACTACTGGGTGAATGAGGGCACGGCTCAGGAGGGCACAAACCACTCCGTCTTCGGCGGTGGAGTAGGGGCACAAAGCGCCCTCCCACCCCTACCCCAGCACCCAGCCTGAGGCCTGGTGGTCAGCGGGACCGGTCACAGCATGCCTAACACCGGCGATTGGCCACCTTTCTCTGCCAAGGGCTGGGTAGTAAATACTTTGGGCTCTGAAGGCTGCAGTGTCTGCTGCAGATTGCCTCAGCACTGCAATCTGAACAGCTGCAGACACATTGTAAATCAGCGGGAGTGGGCGGCTGCGGCCCAAAAGCTGACCTCAGAGTAGGCGTGGTCATGTCTGCCAAGAGGCCAACCCTGCCCTTTACCGTGGAGCCTTCAGGTCAGTGGTCCTCAGCCTTCCTAATGTGTGACCCTTTAATACAGTTCCTCGTGCTGTAGTGACCCCCAACCATAAAAATTGTTATCGTTGCTACTTTATAACTGCGGTGTTGTTTCTGCTATGAATTGTGATGTAAATATCTGTTTTTTACGACAGTCTGAGGGGACCCCTATGAAAAGTCAGTCAATACCCCTGAAGGGGTCTCGACCCACAGGTTGAGAACCACTGCCTTAGAGGCTGCCTGTACCTCCCTCTTAGTTTCCTCTATGTCCTGCTTTATAAGGAAGGCACTGAATGATCCAATATTAGCCACAGCTAGAGCAACTTGGGGGTGTTTACAGGCTGTGACCTCCAAGTCTCTGCATATGAAGCTGACAGGAGACACTTTGAACATCACATGATGTGGCTGAGGACTTCTGTCCCCGAGGTTAAGAATGACTGACACTCAGGGAAAGGAGCTGTGTACTTTAGGTAGCACAGCCCCTGGAAGTGACACCCAGGACTTCACAGGTCTGGGACAAGGGTGTTGGGTTTCTCATGCTGATGTGAGAAGGATCTGGACCCAGGGGGCCTCAGACCCTGGCTGCCTCTGCCTAGAGGCACACAAAGAACATCTGTACACAGAGGTTCTTCGTGGCCTGGAAGACCCAGAGAGTTTGTGTTGAAAAAAGAAAAGAAGCCAGACTCGATGCGAGTGTTCCCTTTCTGGGTCTGTTGCCCTGCTGCCTTTATGCCTATGCTGCCCCTGAGTCAAGACGGACTATGGAGGAATGGGACTCTCTATTGAGAATGTGTTCACATTCTGAATGGCATGATGAGGGGTCCTGCTAAACCCCAAACAGTAGGGAGACAGGACACCAACTTCTTGCCCAAGCCTCCGTGAGTGCCCCTAAAACAACTTATAATGGCAGCTCAGCCTCCTGTAGGCCTGGGTCCAGCACGGCTCTGGCATGGGACACTCCACAGCACTGCGGAATGTTGTGGTCTCTACACTGAGAGCAGCTAATAGGACGAAACCTATGTGGAGGCCAGAGCTCTTTGCAGACATGCCTGGAGGGAATTGGGCTCTACCTCGTCCCTAGTCTAAGCCTCACGGCCCTTCTTGAAGGTGATTCCCACAGTGAATGGGACCCTCTCTGGTCCCTGTGAATCCCTCTGCTGGGTCATGACTTCTGACTCCTTTTCCCAAGAGGCTATATGCAAGTTTGCCTGGGAGAACAGGCAAGCCCTGGGAGCCACCTCAGGGAAGTCTCCTGTAAACATGGATCCTCAGCCAGAACCCAGCCTGGCCAGTAACCTCAAAGCTAGCATGGTCCACCTCCCCACGGCACCTCCCAAGAACAGAAAACTAATCCCAGGATCCTGGGACCTATGGACCCTGCAGAGCAGAGTTTCCAGTAGGAAAAGATCCAGTAAACTCAACAGAGTGCACCAGGGACTACAATGGTCATGGGTTTAGCAGAAGTCACACATATAGTGACAGTGCCTGCCCCACCCCAAAGGGCACTATGATGGCAGTTCACTCTCTGACCTCTGTAAACGCTTGGTCAAGAAAGGTGTCACTGTGCTCACTAGCAAGAGGGCATCAAAGGAATTTCTATGAAGAATAATAAGCCCAGCCGTTCAGCATCTCCCTCAATTTCCTTTATAATTAACTACTAGGGTTCTGCCTCAATCAGTGCCACCAAATGGGAATGGTCACACAGAGTCATAGCTGGGAAAAGGAGAGGAGAGGGATGGGGTTCTGGCCTTCTTGAAGTGTGTGGTTACATGGAGGGAGAGGGTGGCCCTCAGATGCAGTCCTAGATATCCCAGAGGTCCCCCTATCCTTTCTCTGGTGAGATGTAAAGTCTGTCGTCACCTGAGATGTGAGGATGGTATGCCCTCACCCCGCTATTGGGTGGGGAGAGCTGGGATACCCCATCTTGCGGGTATCAAACCAACCTAATGAAGGCCAGTGTATCTCTATAAAGATTATCCCTTGGTGCTGGTTAGGGACCTATGAAGGACACAATACGCTGAGAAAGTAGCAGGATCTCCAAATCCCAGCTGTGACTCAGTCTAGGCGGGCATGGTGGTGGTGTCCTGACCCCTATGACTACATCAAGTTTGCTCTGTGAAACTCCCACATCCCCACAGACATTAGCCTCAGCACACAGGCACTGAGGTCAGTAGGAGGAGGTAGCCATGGTTACGAGAATGCTGTATGGGTCTGGCTGTTTGCTAACCCTGGGGCACCTGCCACAGAGAACAGCCACAGGGAAGATAAAAGAGATCCTTAGCCATGGGCAGGTGCCCCGCTTAGAGCTATGTGGCTGACACATGTCTCTATGCCCCTGACTGCCCTTGCTGTCACAAGTCTTCACGATATGAGTCTTCACTTACATGTGGGGTTCCCACAAGCCCCTCTAGCACTCCAGCCTTGGGATTCTGGAGCTCTCTGAGAATTCTGTGCATGCCTCTGGGCCTGAGCTCAGGGGAGGTACACTGAGGCTTTGTTGGAGTTGCTCCAAACTCAGGGCCTTCCTGAGGCTATGAGTAGCCAAGGCTCAGAGTCACTCACCCCACAGTGGGGAACAGCAAGGGTAAAAGATAATTGACAGCATGATGCTATATCTTCGGGTGTATCTTCAGGGAGCCTGGCACAGTCCACATGGCCCTGCCCCTGCCCCTACCTGGCCCTGCCCCTGTCCCTACCTGGCCCTGCCCACGAAATGGGGAGGACTTACCACAATGACCAGCAGGGCAGGGCCCACAAAAGCCCAAATGGCACCACTCCCCAGTGACAGCCAGCAGCTGTGGAGAGAAAAGAGTTACTTCAGTACCCTTGTCCGCCCTTCAGAAAGGCACCTCCACCCCAGTGGTCCTCAGCCACAGCAATGGCAGGGCTGCAGCGCAGAGAAAGAATTCACCGGCTCTAGGTGCTATGAATCCCAGTCACTTCCGTGGTGAGCTCATGGGTCTTTTTCTTGGAGAGGATTTCTCAGAATTGATGCTTGGGTTAGCCACCTCTGAGGAGTTCAGCCAAAACCCAGAGTAGACTTCTGCTTTGTTACCACGATAAACAAAAGCCACACCAGGGACCGGCTCCAGGTCTTTGCAGAACAAGTCAAATGTTGGCCAGGAAGGTACCTTCAGTGGGGAACTGGTTGGCCAGCTGCCCATCTGCCCAGGGCCTGCTGGCCACTACACGCCCATGGAACCCCAGCACAAGAAGAGTTCCAGCACGTCCCAGCAGTCACTGTAACGTGTTGGGGTACAGTGACTAGGATGTGACTGTCCCTCTGCTCTCTGAGACACGGCCCCTAACTCAGGTGAGATGTTCAGCTTCCCCACAGGGTTCCATGTTCTCCCAGTCTAGGAATGCCACCTATGCAATCCTGGACACTAAGTGACAGCAGGAAAGAGGGCAGCTCAGGCCTCCCAGCCCAGCAAGGGCTACAAGCCCCATCGACCTGAGCATTCCAGACTGTTCATTTGCATATCCTCATACTCCTTCAGCTGGATGCCGTACACTCTACATCGCTGAATACCTGAGAAAGGCCTGAGGGTCACAAACATGGGCTTCATGGTGGCCAGAGCCGCGCGTCTGGGAGAAGCACGTGGGTTAAAAAAAATTCCCATCAGAAGGGTCGGGAGTTAAAGGACTTCCTGCCAGGACTCCTGGTGACCTGAGTGAGAGCCCCAGGACCCATGCAGAATAAGGAGGGAACCGACTCCTGGAGACTTATTCTCTGACCTCCACATGGGTACCATGGCATATGTGTGTGCACAAATGCATGTGCATACAAGCACATTTACACACACACACATTGAATAAATAGATGCAAAAAGAAAAAGAAACCTGGAACATTATAATACCCGCGTTATGGTTCTTTTTTTGTTGGTGTTTTCTTATTTGTTTGTTTGTTTTCGTTTTCAAGACAGGGTTCTCTGTGTAGTCCTGGCTGTCCTGGAACTCACTTTGTAGACCAGGCTGGCCTTGAACTCAGAGATCCACCTGCCTCTGCCTACATAGTGCTGGGATTAAAGGCACGAGCCTGGCTCATGTTGCTGGTTCTAAGAGCATAGGAGGATTGCTATTGTAGCTCTCTCTGTGCAGGCCTGGGGGAGCCAGCTGATGCCCACTCTGTACCCAGGTGATCGTGGACATCTGAGACTGTGGGCACCTTCCAGTGCTCACCTATACGTGAGGCCCACCAATCATGGGGCGTGTTCAGAGGATCCAGGGTCTCTTACCTGTCACTTGTCCCATAGCTGTCCATAGAGGATGATATGGAGATGATGCAGATGAGGAGAGGGCACCCTGTGGAGAGATGGAGATGTCGTATGGCATGTTCCCTTCCCCTTCTGTCCACAGATGCATATTCCCTGGGGACTATGGCTGAGCACTGGGCACAGAGCACTGTTAGGCACAGGGAAGTCGCAGGCCAAGCCAGAGGTCACACAGGTCACACTCACATAGCACCTTCTTTTGGTTCTGCTGAGGAGCCTAGAGGTCTGTCACAGTCCAGTGCTTAGGGCAGGGTGGCCCATGGTGACAAGAAGGGAAACTCGGTGCCGTCTGTTTGGGCCACATTTCCTAGCTAAGTCAAGTTGACCCTTAAGAAGCATATGAGAGTGGTTGAGGACATTTTAAGTGTGTTAACAGGGATGTTTGTCCTCGGCACTCAGTAGGCAGAGGCCCAGGCCTCTCCTGAACACCCTACACTCCACAAGTTGCCTTCTTGTGGTGGTTTCAATAGGAATGGCCCCATAGACTCAGTTTTTGAATGTGTGGCCTATAGGGTGTGGCTCTATTGGGAGGCGTGGCCTCGTTGGAGTAGGTGTGGCCTTATCACAGGGAGTGTGTCACTGTGGAGGCGGGCTTTGAGGTCTTATATGCTCAAACTAGGTCTAGTAGGGCAGTCTCCTTCTGCAGCCTGCCGATCAAGATGTAGAACGCTCAGCTCCTTCTCCAGCACCATGTCTGCCTGCACGCTGCCATGACGATAATGGAGCCATGATGGTGATGGAGTAAACCTCTGAAACTGAAAGCCAGCCCCAAATTCAATGTTTTCCTTGATGTCGAGAAGTGGCGGCACACAGCTTTAATCACAGCACTTGAGAGGAGGAGGCAGGCAGTTCTCTGTGAGTTTGAGGCCAGCCTGGTCTACAGAGTGAGTTCAGAGAAACCCTGTCTCAAAAAAAGAAAATTCCTTTATAAGAGTTTCTGTGGTCATTGTGACTATTCACAGCAATAAAACCCTAATTAAGACACTCCCTAAGAGAGTGTGAGCTCTGAAACCATTCCACCGCCACAGAGGAAGGAGATGGTCTAGGGCCAGGACAGATGCACTAGACTATCAAATGTACAGTTCCTATGCTGCCAGTGTTTGAGCCCAGAACTCTAGCCATTCTGCTCCACATCTACGGGGCCCAGAGGCTGGCTTCTTCCTGGCTCTCAAGCACATGACCCACGACTGCCTCAATGGACCACAGCAATTGATTGAAAGATGGACATGTGACCTGGATGAACCAATAAGACTCTAGCAGGGAGTCAAAAGCGAGGCTGCCTTTGAGACTGGGAAGAAAGAAGAACTCTCTCCTCGTGGGTTGCAGAGAGGATAAGGACACTGTTAGAACAGGTAGGTAGGGCTTGTCCAGCCACCTTGGCAGCATGGGGGGTTAAGGAAAGCTCAGGACCCTGCCAGCAAGGACATCAAGAAAGGCAAATTTGTGTTGTGGAGGCCCGTGGGTCAAGACTCGAATTTACCACCACGGACCTATATCAACCCTTAAATTCCCTTTGTGCCTAAGCCACTTGGAGTTGGATTTGTTTTACAGACTTCTGGAGAGGTGTGGAAATAGGGTCTAAGAACAAACTAGCAAAACATCTAGACCAGCAATTCCCACAGCATTCTGTCTCCCTGCCAAGAAAGAACTCTGGGTCAAACTGCTCTTAGAGCCAGCCAGCCCAGAGAGAGCTGACCGCTGCCTGCACTTTAAAAGTTCAGATATATATTCAGATGTGGGTCTCCACAAGGAGGGAGCTGTTCAGCTTCTTTCGCTCAGCTGTGGCGTGGGGCTTCACCTGGAAACATGGCTGGGCTTCCACCTGACATTCCTGAGCTTTCAGGGAGACGCAAACATTTCCCACCACTCAGAGTTTCCACAGACTAGGGATCTGGTACCCTTTGCCTCCTCCGCAGGGGCCAAAGAGCCAAAGAAATGGGCTCTATGGTTCACCATAAGATCCCACCAAGGAGAGTGTTCAAGAGAAAGGTCTCTAGAGAAGTGTTTCTCAACCGAAGGGGCACACGACCCTTTCGAGGGGGCCGCATACCAGATATCCTGCATACTAGATATTTACATTATGGTTCATCACAGGAGCAGAATGACAGTTATGAAGTAGCCATGAAAGTAATTTTATGGTTGGGGGTCACCACAGCATAATTGTATTAAAGGGTCGTAGCACTAGGAAGATTGAGAACCACTGTCCTAGAAGAAACTTCTCAGCTTCAACCAGCTTGTGTGAGAGAGCGTGCGTGCACGTGCGCACATGTCTCGTGTGTGTGTGTGTGTGTGTGTGTGTGTGTGTGTGTGTGTGTGTGTGTGTGTGTGGCTCCGCCCCACAGCTCTCTAGTGCCCCCTGCAGGTAGAGCGTTTCATGCCTCCATTCTCTCTACCAGAATTGCAGTTTGGGGTCTAGCTTCATCTTCTTAAGGCGTTTTCCCCACATCCTTACCTCTGAGCCAAGGACCAGTTTAAACCCAAATACACAGGACATCAGGGAGTCTCTGAAGGCAGATGGTCAGCATGCTGTGACCCCGAGTCCCCCTCCGCCTCCCCTGCAAGTGTCACAGGCAAGGATGGCTGCCTCTCTGTGGTAGTTAGTGGGAATACTGGCGATGACTCTCTTCTCCCTCTCAGATGGAGACACAGCCTCAAGCATCAAGACACTGAGGTAAGTGATGACACAGACAAAAGACAACATAGGGGAGCAGCCTGGGTTGTTGGATCAAATGACACCTGGCTCCCTTCCCGAGGATACACCAGACCTGCTGTGCAGCCTCAGGGAGCTGGCTGGACCTCTCTGGGCCTCCACGATCTGTTAATGAAATGGGGAGTGTGGAAAGCTCACTGAAAGGACCACACAAGACGCATACGAACAGTAAAGCCACCGGTGTGACGCTGATTCCCGCCATAAGCAGCACCCTGGATGGCTCAGGTCCCTACCTCCTCCCGCCAACGTCTTCCCGAAACCCTAGCAAACTTGTGTTACTCTTCTGTGGGCCATTTGGAGGCCTTCTGGCCCTGTCACTACTCGCATATTCTCCCTGGGTCAAGATGCACTCCTCTTAGGAACATGGTGACCTTTCCGAGGGCCCAGCCTAATGCCATCCCTAGTGTTGGCCTCCTAAGATCCTGGTAGGGGTGACAGACATATTAGGGGAAGTGCTGCTGGGGAGTGCTGGCCAGAACCAACAGAACACTTGGGAATCTCCCAAGAAATTACTGACGTTGCCTTTCCATGTTTTCTGTGGCTCCATCTGTGGCAAGCATGCAGTCTGCCCCGTGATGCTCTTGGGACCTTGTTCTGAGTGTCAGGCAGGAATAGCGTGTGCTTTTCAGTGGTTCAGCACTGAATTCCCAGAACTGGCTCTGGTGGCGACCTCTCCCCTCTGGGCCCTGGGCTCTTACCATGGCACTGTTCCATGGTGGACAGATCTTACAAACCCCAAATCAGGCTGTACTGGCTAGCTTTATGTCAACCTGATGCCAGCTAGTGTCATCAGAGAGGAGGGAGCCTCAGGTGAGACCGGGCCTCCATGGGACCCAGCTACAGGGCATTTTCTTAACTAGTGATCAGTAGGGGAGGGCCCAGCCCATGGTGGGTGGGGCCATCACGGGGCTGGTGGTCCTGGGTTTTATAAGAAAACAGACTGATTAGACTATGGGGAACAAGCCAGTAAGCAGCACCCCTCCATGGCCTCTGCTTCAGGTCCTGCCTCCAGGTTCCTGCCCTGCTTGGGTTCCTGTCCCCACTGTTTCTGATGACGAACTGTTACACGGGATTGTGAGTGAAATAAACCCTTTCCTGCCCGAGTTGCTTTTTGGCAATGGTGTTTCATCACAGCAACAGCAACCCTAACTAAGACAGCATTTAAACCAGACCGAAGGTAGGAAGCTGGTTATTACCATTGCCCAGCAAGCAGGCCATGTTAATATCCCACCACCACACGGAGGCTGAGCTGGATTTCTAAATAGAAATGCAGAGGGAGGCGGACCTGGAACAGCCTTCAGTGAGGTCTCACCCCAGATGATGGGGATTCACAGAAGACATCAAGTTCAATAGAGAACAATAAACCTCGTGACATCTCTCAGTGCTGAGTTGGTAATCAAATTCCAGTTGGCTGCATCAAAATGCGGGCACCACAGTCCCTCATCTCCCCAGGGACACAACCTGTTCCCCTCACTTCCACAAACCCCTGTCCCCAGCTCAGGGCACAGCTGGGCTGCCAACAAACCTGTAGCTAACTCCAAGCCTCCCCCGCCTCTCAGCTTCCAAACAGTACTGGAATTCTAAAAGCTTCGATTCCGTGCAGGGTGAAGAAATGCCAGGGAGAGATCTGAGGGGAAGAGGCTATGTTTCCCAGCGTCTCGGCCTGCAGCAGGGTCTTCTGGGACAGTTCCAGTCCCTTCTTCATTAGGAGCTGGGGGCTAAATCCCTGCTGCCTGCAGACTGCCTGTACCTATGCCAGAGGCCAACCTAGCCCTGGCAAGATGAAGGACACAGTTCATGGGCTCCTGATGAAATTAACTAAAGGCAGGATAATGCAGGATGGTGGAAAGATGGATGGAGGCTGTGGGGAGGCCAGAGCTGCCTGGACTTCTGTCTTCAGAGAGCTTGTATCAGAGCTGCGGACTGAGTTCTGTGTGGACCGCATGTGTGGACATCAGAAGATGCCGGTCCCTGCCACGATGGGAAGCAGAATGCCTGCCTCCTCATTTTCTAGGGTTTTAATATTGGCCAATAGCACATTTTTCTCTGCCGATGGCAGATCAAGTAAATTATTCTTCTAGGTTGGATACAATGGATTGTCACACGCTTACACACCATCACATACCCACTCACAAGCCATTCACACAACCATCACACCACACACACACACTCACAACACATTCACATACCTATCACATACCTATCCACACACTCACTCACAGTCCACCCACATACCATCGAACACACACACACACACACACTCACAACACATTCACACACCTATCACATACCTATCCACACACTCACTCACAATCCACCCACATACCATCGAACACACGCACGCACGCACGCACACACACACACCACGCTCTGTCAGCCCTGATCACCTGCCCCTCTCTACCAGAATGGCCAGTTTCCATGAAGAAATTAGTAAGCTTCAGTAGGTAGTCACCCATGTCTATTCCTAGATCTTTCCTGAGTAGAAGTCATAGGAAGGAGTCACCCTCCAACTTGGGCAATCAGATGGACTGAGGGAGCAGGCCACATTTGAACCAGCCTCACTGAAGGGATGGAGCGCAGTGGACACCCGGCCTTGTGTCATACATACACCGAAGCAACTAGCCTAAGCAGTAAGGCAGCGTAGAAACCATGGGGACAGCAGGTACCAGCTGCATGGCCTGCAGCAGTAGGAGGTAGCCGCCCACCCACATCCTCTACCCCAGTCTCTCCAGGGAATCCCAAGGAAAGTGTCAAGTGTCAACGCCTCCACTTCAGCCGCAAATAAATGACATTTGCCAACTCGAAGTGCACACAGTAAACACGGTTAATCTGCTGTTTGCATAATGAGGGCTGAGAAAATTAAATCCATTTGAAGGGAAGTAGAAATATGCAGCAGGTCTCTGACACCTAACTCATGTCTTCCAACAATTGCAAAAGCGGTGGGTACCCACCCTCACTGGGACACTGGCAGGAAGTGGGTCCACCTGTGCTGGCAGGGGCTCGTTGGGATGGGCAAGAGTCAAAACAGCCAAGAAACCAAGACCAGGACACTGCACAGGCCATGGATCAGTGAGACTAAGGATGATAAGGATCCGATTTTTTAAACTTTCAAAGTCCCGGTAAACTTTCCTAATTGTGCAGAGCTGATAGAAAGAAAAGATCTCAAGAATGTCCACAAAGTCCACGTAAGAATAAGGAGGCCAGGGACACTTGGGTGACTTACCTGCTTACTGGCTGGTGACATAAGCAAGGTTCAGCCCTCCCCATGCTCTCCAGCCCAGGCCTGGAGGGGATTCGTGGAGGACAGAGCCAAAACAGCCAAAATCCCTAGCCCTCAACTCTGCCTTAGAAAGTTTCATTCTAAGGAAGCCATTGACACCTGCTTGCCAGCCTCCAACCCCAGCCGGAAGTGAGTTTATATATACAGCTGTGACAGCTCTCTGTGTCCTAACTCAGCTGACTCTCAGGGTAGAGAGGAGCACTCTGCAGATCAGAGGCCACTGTCCCTTCCCAGAGCCCTATGAAGGACAGCACGGCACCAGGTGGGCGCTGTTCCTGCACTCCCATGCCCTACTAGAAAATGTCAGCCCTGGGCTAGCTTCAAGCAGTTCATGTAACAGAGCAGTGAGCCAGAGGACAGGCAGACGCTTGAGGAGGCTCAGAGCCCTGAACGAGCTCATCCAAAAGTGCCAAATGCCGGGCAAAGATTCTAAGTCATATAGGATAGCAAAAGTGTGGCCCGCACAGAAGAAAAGTAGCTGAGAAACTGTCTGAGAGGAGCCGATGTCGTTGAAGACCCTAAAAGGACTAAAGCCACCAGCAGAGTACCAGATAGCAGGTAGGATTTTTTAAAAAGGAGAAACAAGGATCAAATGGGCACTCTGGAACTGCAAAGTATAATCACTGAAATGCAAACTCCACTGGGGGAGCCAGCAGGGGCCAAGCAGGAGGAAGAGTCGGGGGACTCAAACACCACACAGACTATGAGACACGATGATCAGAGGAAACAGGAGCCAGCAGAGTCCCCAGAGATACGCGGACACCCGAGGACTTCTGGCGGGCACCAGAGAGTGTCAGAGAGGAGGGCAGAGCGAAGCAGGTGTCTGAAACCATGGCCGTTTCAACAGTTGGTAAGAACAAGGCAGAATGCCAGAGAGCGCGGGAGGGAGGCTTCGAGGACGCCACCGAGTCCAAAGGCTGAAAGAGGTGAAAACGCTAAACAACGCAGGGGAAAGCAGCCTCTCCGCTCCAGGGCTCACAGGAGAAAGAGCAGAAGTCAGGGTCAACAGTGGAGACAGAGGCAGGCAAGGAAGGGCCACAGAGTGCCCCAGGGAAGAGTCTGAGTCCAGCACGACCGCCTTGTAAGATGAAGGACAGACAGAAGGACGGACGGACGGACAGACGGACGGACAGAGACGCCCATCTGAGTGTGCGCCTAGAAGGCCTGCCTCGCTGCACACAGAAAGGATGAAAACTGGCGGCACCAGAGGCAGTGGCATGCACACATGTGCACATCAGTGCCGGCACCAAGACACATGCATGCACACATACAGACACACACACACGTACACACACACACATGTGCATGGACATGCACAGAAACACAGACCTCCTACACACACGGCACCGATAAATTATGGAATTATAAGGAACAGCAGAGTTGTGTGCCCTCTTTTTTTTCCCTCCCCTCAATTGAGTTAAAAAGCAATAATATCAAATGACATTTATAGAGCTGCATTATTAGGCCCATAACAAATAGAAATGTAATAAGCTTCCAAGGCATACAGGAGAGGGAGGGTGACAAAGCTGCCTTGGAGCACGGTGACAAGGCCAGATGCCAATTCAGACTCACAGGGACAAACACGGAGCACCAGACATGGTGCGTCCGACAGATAACAGGACAAATATTGCAGATATACATCCCGCCCCTTTCTCGGCTTCTTTCATAAAGAGGCAAAGTTGATAAAGTGATATTACAGTCCATGCCCCCCACCCATGAAGATGTGATATGTGTAGCAATAACCACACAAAGAGGAATAAAGTAATAGAACCACTTAAAAGCAACGTTTCCGTGTTGCACTGTAATTTAGTAAGCACATAAAATAGATTTTAATATGCTGAAATGCATACAGTAAGCACAGGGGCAACCACCAAGAAAACAACCCAGAAAATACGGTGAAAAACTCATTAGGAGAATTAAAATGCTGCTCAGGAAAATACCCACTCAATTCAAAAGAAGGCAAAGGGGGAGAAACAGGAACAGACCGAGTGACGTCAGTACCTCCCTTCAAATGACGGGGAGAGCAAACAGAGGGAAGATCTAGGCCAAAACAGAGAATTTGAATGTCACCTTGAGCCAGCTACACCTGACACTGACAGAACACACCACTCAAGAGCAGAGAGCACACTCTTCCCAAGGTGATGGGATATTGGTAAGCCATGAGACAAACCTCGATATGTTCAAAAGCAGACTCACACTGACCAATCCATCTTCACCAGCGTCACCTGCACAGTTCGGTCCCTCCAGTCCCATCCCATCTCCCCCAAACCCATCCCATCTCCCCCAAACCCTGACCCGAATCCACCTCCTGTGGCCACCAAGACCCACTCCATCACATCGGTCCCACCCCTACCTGTCCCACCGCCTCCTTCCCAAGTTATCTTAACTGGTTCCATCCCGGCCGTCTGCCCCACCCCTCCGACATACCCCAGCCGATCCCATAATAGTAGAGATGCTTGCTGTCCTCTGACCCGAAGACCTTTATCACCATGCTGTAGAGATGCAGTCCCTCCACCAGCATCCAGGCAAAGGCACTCAGGAAGAAGTAGTGCAGGAGGACGGCCAGCACCTGGCATGGGACCTGGGAGCCAAGCAAAGATGCGGGGTGAGGCCACGGAGGTGCACAGTGGTCATGCTGGGGGTTTTTCTTCCCAGTGTCGATTTCCTAGACACCTCTAGATACGTGACCTCATTTCCGTCCTGCTCAGTTTCCCAGTCCAAAGTCCTTCTACAACCTCTGACTCTGCCACTCCCCACCCATGGTCACTCCCTGCACAGTGACCCTAGAAAGGACTCCAGCAAATCCCTTCCCTGGTGCCCCCTGAAGAGAGAGATACCTGGGTGCAGAGGGACAGCTGTGGGGATGAGGAGCAGGATCTACTCACCGTGCCAGGCTCCACGCGGAAGCTGATGAGCAGCAGAACCTGGGCCACCAGGACAGCAAAGGACAGGTTGGCATGGATGTGGTAGCGCTGGTTCCGGATGGTGCTGACAGAGCTGGAGACAGAGAGGCGGTGTGAGCGGCGGAGCTCAGACTCAACATCCTATCCCCGTTCTGGTTCCCCACCTAGTCCTCTTTGAGACACCTGACCATCTGTATAGATCCCACTCCTCCATGCTGCCGCTCCCCGCTTGGACCCTCGGCGGCTCTCTGTTACTCTTGGCTACCCTCCCTGCTCCTCTCATAGACCCAACCACCCGACACAGCCTGAGCCCTTCCTAACATCCCCGTGGTTCTTCTAACTCCCTGCACCCTCTTCTGTTTCACACCCTCCATCATGGGGGACGGGCAGGGACACTAGTCTGAATTCTGGATTCAAGCCAGCAGAATATACACCCTGTGACATCATCGACATCACCGAGGACAGCAGGGAGAGGGGGGGACCACTTGGATCCTAAAGGATGGATGCAGGACCTGCCATCCTTTTCCAGCCATTCCTGGCAGGCTTGGATGGCAACCAGCAGAGAACGCTTCCTAGCTTCCCATCTCAGATGCTCACCTCTGCACTGTCTCCTTGGGCATGGCAGGCTGTGCAAGAAAGCATTTATTTATTCTTTGGCTTTCTTGGTTATTGATGGGCCCCATCCAAAGGCATTTATGCATGAATTGGCCTCATAACCAGACATCATAGCTTGTGAGGAAGGGAAGAGTCAAGGATGCCTGTGCTAACTCTTGCCTGGCTCAGGTCCCCGCGCCCCCAGAACTCCTCAAGTGTCAATGTGGGACTCTCCAGACCTTTCTGGTATGTCTAGAACCCTGTGACCCCACTTCGCAGGCCCTGTTATTCCTTTACATCTTCCCTGCACCTCAGATTTTGAAAGGGAGTGTCACTGTCACTGGAGAGCAGCCACGTAGTCACATCTGTACCCCACCTAGGAGGGCTGTGGTACACGCCCAGTCTCTTCAAAGCCAGAGAGAGGTATGACAAGAGCAGCAGGATGCATAGGCATTTCCAGTAAGTTGCTAAACCTCCTGGGGACACAGGGAGAGGGTGACTCACGACAGTACTGCGAAGGTGACCAGCGTGGCAGCCAGGCAGAGAACTGACAGAGAGCAGCCAACATAACTGATGGACGACAGCGCCACCTGGTGTCCACGGGTGAGCTGCAGGAACAGAACAAGGTTGTGTGGGTGGTTGGCCTTCCTCAGTTGACCCCGTTCCATGACTGGGAGGGTGCCACGTGATGTCATAGTGCCATAGTGCTGACCCAGTGATGCTGACCGCCAAGGCCTGCCTTCTGCCCCAGCCGCAGGCAGCGGGATATGCCACACTGGACTTCAGAGTTGACATTTCCCATGCTGCAGGTTGCTATGCCATCTCTCCTGGCTTCCTGACTTAGGCTACCTGATTCCTTCTACTACAACACTCCCAGGCTCAAGTCTGTCCAGTCATGTCTGAATGGGTGACCTAGGGTGACCAGAGACACGCCTCCTCTGGCTATGAAATGCAGGAAATAACAGTGATGGGCTTGAAGTGGGGGAGGGTTAGTGGATTCACAGACATAAAGGACTCAAATCAGAAAGATCGCATACAGCCTATTGAGGGAGAGGCTATGCTCACTTGGAGGTCAGTACCCTCTCTGGCCCTCAGTTTAAGAGCATTGCTAGCCCCCAAATTGACAGCCGCCATGTTTGTAGGCACACACCAGCCCTTGGGACCCTCTCTTGAGTGAACACCTATGTGGCCACCTGGACTGACATCTATTGTGGCAGACCATCTTTCACGGCAAAAACAAGACAAATGTAAACAGACTATACATCCCACTGGTGCCTGGCAGCCTGTGCTTGGCTGTCCTGTTCACGCCCTAGCATCCGGTACCCACCCATGTCCTGTTGAGGCTGGTTCCTTCCCATCTGTGGCTCTCAGGGATGGTGTCCCAGCTTCAATGGATGCCAAGATCCCTCCAAGAAGCTCTCTGGCCCTGGACAGGGTCCAGTACAGCCAGACCTTGAGAGACACCGTGGTTCCCTGGGCAGCTCTAGCTCTGCCCCTCATCTCAATCAGCTATAGCATTTGCTGACCACAGGCAGGGGCCTTAAAAGGACCGAGCCCAGGCTGTCAGCATTCTGTGTCCCATGGAGATAAGCACACAGTGAGGTTCAGGTGGTCATGAGCTGCTGTGGCAGGACGGAAAGTCCCTGAGCTCTCGTGGGGTTAATCTGATGTGGAATCGAGACTCCCTCCAGCTCATGAGAGTCAACTACAGAGTCCAGGGATCCAACATTCCCTCCAGGATAAGGAGTCTCTTTGTATCCCGTCAGTCACCGGGCTTACCAGGAAAACAAGGCACGTCTGCCCTTCCCAGTGAACAAAATCCAGGACTTTCATCAAAAGCGGGGGGGTCCTCGGGGCTGATGAAGTGACTAAGATGTCCATCATGATGGGGGACTAACTACCTTCCTGTCTATAGGGCAGAACCCAGGACCTGGAGTCCTGGAGGAACTGGAGCCACAGCAAGATGCCGTCACTCGCCCAGGAGGCACCAACACCCCTTGAGGGGAGAAAACTATTGGGCTCTCTCCCCATCATCTGCACTGGATGTCAGAGACTAAGATCAGCCTCAGTGCAAATCCAGGCAAGGATGGAGGTAGAGAGCCCAGGGACCAAAGAGCCAGGGCCAGGTGCGACATATGTTCCCAGAACTGAGTCCTTCATGAACACCAGCCACCAGGAGATAAGAACCCTCTCCATAGGCAGACAGGTCCTGACCCCAAAGGGCTGGGGGAAGAAGTAAGTGCGGGCAATGATCCCCTTGTTCCCAGCTCATCTCAGAGACACAGCCAGGCAGCTTGAGACAGAGGGGTGGGTTTTAGCATTGAACTGGGCTTCAGGTCCAGCAGGAGGACAGCCCACAGCTCCCAAAGGGGTAGGTGAAGGGGCGTGTGACAGCTCATCCTGGTCTGAAATGGCTGGAGAGACAACCACCACCGAAGCATGCCCCCATGCAGGTCAGAGTCCTGGTGAGACACAGCAGTGGGTCACATGAATGGTCTGGACCCACCTAGTCGGAGCAATTGCCAAGACACACGGATTCGTTTGTAAGAAGGGAGCAATCTTCACCCTTTGTTCCGAGAACAAAGAGGTGCTTGCTGCAGACTCAGAAGGCATGTCGGTGGTGATGGAAAAGCCTGTGTGTGTGCAGGACCCAGGAGACAGCAGACAGGGGAGGATGTTGGTTTGCTCTCTGCCCGGTGTGTATAATCTCTACAGAATCCACAAAGAATTCCTCCACCTCCTTAAGCCTCTTCCGTCTGGTCTTTGGACTCCTGTGGGGCTCCCTGTCCATAAGGTTATAGTACGCTTCAACCCTAGCCAGAGCTGTCATCCTCAAGCCTTCCTTTGCTTCATTTGGGGCCCTCTAGGATGGAGACTTCCCTCTGCCCCGTCTGCCCTGTCCATACACGTATAGCCACCAAGCCTACCCCTGTCCCTTGGAGGAAGATCTCTATTCTGATGGCTGCCTCCTGAAACAGGATCCCACAGGAGGCAGACAGCCCCTCCCCACAGAGAGCTCCTTCCCCCTACCTCTCCCCTCCCCGCAGCCACTTCGGAGCAGCTGATTGTTAAATGAAGGTTCTAGAATAACATCGGCACCATCCATGCCTCTATTTCAACAGTGGTATCCTGGGTCTGGCTAGAGGAGCTGATGTTGGGGAGTCAGAAGGGGGACCCCAGAGTGAGGAACTAGGGTGGTGCTCCCCGGAGGCTACTCAGCAGCCTTGTGAGCCTGTCCCTTTCATGACCTCTGTCCCAGATGCCCTGCTCTCTCCCCCCCCCTTGCCCTCCGAGGAGCAGTTTGCACAGTTACCTCTCTTGTTACTTCCTAGGCTCGCTTCCACGGCCCAGGTGGCCCAGGAGCCTCCCCAGAGCCTGAAGGGAAAGATGCCTGGCAGGAAGCAGCCAATGGGGAGGCTTCCTCGGGTAAGACGGAGACAATGGGAGACAGGGTGGTGGGCAAAAGTGAACTTCAAGGGGGAGGCAATGGGAGGGGACAGGACGGGGAGCAGGGGACGGATGGGGACAGGCCTCTAGCCTGCACATGATCTGTGCCCTTCTACAGGGGACATCGGCATCCTGTATCCCCTTCAGTCACTCTCCCCACTTTATTACTGAGACAAGGCCTCTTGCTGAAGCCAGAGCCAAATGGGTTAGCCTAGTTAGCTAGCTTGCACCAGGGATTCACCCATGCCCACTCGGTCTTTCTTTGAGTGGCCAGGGACTTAAACTTTAGTTCCCACTTGCATGGTAAATGCTTTACTCACACGCCATTTTTTTTTTCGAGACAGGGTTTTTCTGTGGCTTTGGAGGCTGTCCTGGAACTCGCTTGGTAGTCCAGGCTGGTCTCGAACCCTCAGCTGAGTGCTCGGGGTTAGGGACTCATGATGAGGTACTGAGTCTGGGTTCTGAGACTGGATCGTGCCCACTCCTTCCCCTTCTGCCATGGGCCTCCAGGAGCAAGCCCCACCCTCTGTACCCCACCCCTGTGCTGCAGACGCCAGAACTGAGGCTCGGCAGGCTCACCCAGAGCATGGCAGTGTGTCCCAACAGCTGGCACAATTAAAACTTACATAGGGGCTAGCCCTGAAGACCCACGGCCCAGGACAGGGACACAAGTATCACTGGAGGTTGGCGTGCATAGGCTGAATGTCCTGTAGAAGGAGTCTGCCTGTGCCCAGTCATCATATACTCCTCCAACCCCAAGAAACACCCACATGGCCCTGACTGTGCCACGCTCCCGGGACCACAGAAGGGGCTCACACAGTGCTTGCACCAGTCTTACCGTTTCTTGCTTTCACGCCTATATACGGGCCCCCTTCATGGCTACATGTGACTGCCATTACCTTGGCTCCAGACTAGACATGCTGCAACGGCTGAGTGGGAAGGGGTTCCACGGCAGCACCCCACAAAACGCATCCAACACCAGCTTCAGGGCAGCATTGTGTACCCTGGCTGTGCCCTTTCTTTCCCACCATGGCCAGATTTAGAAATGCCCAAAAAAAGCCCTGGCGTTGGTTTCAGGACTGGATCCCTCTGAGTCAGCGACCACAAACTCAACGCCCTTGAAGTGCCTGGAGAGACTGCAGGAGGCCGGCTGAGGCTCCCACTCAGAGAGGCACGCGGGGCCACTCAGCCCAAAGACCACTCATCCTTTGCCTGAGCCCCTCAGAGTAGCCAGGTCACCCCCAGCCCCAGACAGGAATGAACGGTGTTTCCACCTTCAGCACAAACTGAAGCTACTGGTCACGGTAGAGGAAAATGATGGAGACAGGGATGATCTGGACCCGTGACCCCCTTCCCTGAAGGGGCCAAGATATCGCTATTCCCTCCAATATCATTTCAGGTCAAATTCAGCTCAGTATTGCTGGGTCTTCTGCTCTTTAATGAAACTTAATTAATTTTTCATCCACATCCTGCGTGTGTGTGTGTGTGTGTGTGTGTGTGTGTGTGTGTGTGTGTAAGGCACATGTGTATGGTTCATGTGCACATGTGTACTTGCATGTGGAGGCTGAGATGGAACCCCATAGTAAGAAACCAGGCATGGAGAAGGCCTGGAGAGACCTCGGAGAGTAAGAGACACCAGGGGATGAGAGTGCCCAAGGGCAAACTGGAACCACAAACCCAAAGACCATGAGGGTGAACTTCGCTGCCCAGGAAAAAGCTGGCTTGGTATCAAGGAGTAGAGGTCACTTGTGCCTCCTTTGGAATTCTGTAAGTGTGCCCCAAGCTTGGCCTCGCTTGTGAGATCTGCCTTAATTTTGTTAATGTTCACGAACTGTTCCTTTTAAACAGGGATAATTTTAAACCATTTTCAAATCAACCTCTCCCAGCAATGAATAGATGTGATTTTTCTCCCACGAAGACACCCACAGGCTGTCTAAATTTGGTGTCACCGATACTGACTGGTGACAGATTTATGATATAAATGAGTCTGGATTTCCTTCTTCTGTTTTTTTCCCCTCTTTTTGACTTTGGAGATCGGACCTCTCTCGGGACAAATGCCAGGCATGAGTGGCTGCTCCCTGGAGAGTGCGCACCCCTTGTGCTGCTCAGCAGACCCTCCTGGGTAGACCAGACAAAAGCAGACTATCCCTCAGTTCAGTGGTCCAGCATGAGAAGGACCCGGAGGAGGAAGCTCTCTACCCTGGTGTCATCTGAAATGTCCCCAGTGGCGTGAAATCTCCTGTCTCCCTCGGTGAGCCTAGGGGTGAACCTGCACCTTCCCTCTGAGTGGTCTTTGGTGGCACTCGGGTTCTCAGACAGCACGCTGGCTGCTCACTGGCTTAACTGCCCACTAAGAGGGAACTTCCAGAGGTAACATCACTGGCCAAGGTACCTTCTCTGCTGGCTCTCGGTATGTGCCTGTTGGAGGTCACTGGCTCATTTCCTACAACTCTACAGCATCTTCCCAGGGAAGCTCACAGCTTCCTGCTGATCTCCCCTCCGGGTCTGTGGTCTGTGTCCCATGCCCCACCATACTCCCTTAACTAGCGTGGGCTTCTATGCGAGCCTCGAGTCAGACTGCCCTGCTTGCTCTTCAAAGGCATGAGATCACTTTGTAGACGGTCTAGACCTGTTCCGAGGGTGGCGGCAGCTGCTGCAAGCCGAGGACCAGACGGTGTCTTTGTGGCACTCACCTGCAGTGGGACCACTTGCATGAGGATGGCAAAGTTGGTGAGATGGGTGCAGCGGCACACCGAGTGGGTGAGGTTTCCCTCTGTGCGCGCACAGCCCTGACTTGACCAGACGCCTTCCCCGGAGCTGAGGACACAAGGACAGGAGTTACCAGTGGGAGCCACGCCACCGCTCAGCCCCACAGGCTCAACATCTCACTGGCTAACCCCGACACCAGGGTGCACACCATCCTCCGGTATTAAAGCCGGGAAAATGGCTGGCGCTGGTGAGACAGCAGAAATATCTCTTCCGGGACACAGAGAGGCAGGGGCTGCTGCCTCAGCTTGGTCCATGGGAGAGCACTTGGACCCCTCCCAGCCTGGAAGGAAATATGTGCGGCCCAGAGTCCAGCTTAGGAAGCCAAATACTCAGGGAATCATGAGTGATCTAAGAGAACTCAGTACAGTTCTTAAGCGTGTGTCTGGGGGACGGATATGTAAAACATAAATAATATAAACATAACTAAAATGCAGTGCATACAAATCTGATACAATGTGGTATGTATAAATATTGAAACTCCTGCACAACACTTTAGAAACCTTGAGGCTGGAAAGATGGTTCAGTGGTTACTGTTACTCGCTGTGCAACTGTGAAGACCTACGTTTGACTCCCAGCATCCATGTAAGTAAGGATTTGGGCGTGGTCCTATGTTCTCCTGCAACCCCAGTGCTATGGGCAAGTGGAAGCAGGGGGATTGCAGCGATTGCCAGTCTAGACAAAAAGAGCGCAAGCTCAGAATTCAAGGAGAGACCCTGACTCAAAGTAAGCTAGAGAAGTATAGAGGGTACTCTGTGCCTTCCTCTGACCATGGCATGTGCGTGGGCACGTGCAGCCACACACACACACACACACACACACACACTATACACGTGCACACATTATGTCACTTAAAATCTTATCTTAAGGATTTTGATTACTTGATTTTGTATGTGTGTTGGGGATATTTGCATGTAAACACAGGTGCCTGCAGTGGCCAGAAGAGGGCGTCAGATCTCACAGGTGGCTGTGAGCTGCCGTGTGAGTGCTGGGAATTGAACTCAGGTCCTCTGAAAACCAGTCTGTGTTCTTTACCTCAGTCATCTCTCCGGCCCCCCAAGAACTTGTTTTAAAACTAATCCTTGGCCAGTGTATACCATTACACATAAAACACAAAAATGGCACACGCAGCATCTTAATGGTATGCGGGAGGTGGCGTCCACCTGACTCCTGTGAAAGCCACACACAAATGAGTGTGGATCATGAGCAAACTGTCAGCCTCTTCACAGAGGCCTCCAAAGACCAGGGGAGGAGGGCAGGGCAGGGTCAAACAGAATGTTTGCTTTTCCGTAATGTTCTAGTCTCTAATTGCTGTTGGAGCTGGGATTTCTTACTGTGACCCTCCAGGCCAATATGCACTGATGTCAGGCAGTTAATCCTTGCAGAGAGCGTGTTGGCCACTGTCATTTTCTTGTGTGTGCTGCTCTGTCCTTTCAAACGCCAAACAGGTCTCTTTGTCCACAAAGACAAACCTGTGTCTCAGCTTGAAGCAGGAGCCCCCCGGTCTACAGAGCTGAAGGAGCCTGTCTCTCATTTGTATTCTGCTATAGTTCCTACTTCTACCCTGTCAGGGCTAGCCGCCTGGGATGAAGCAACCCAGGGCCCCGTCTTGCACCCCTGACGATATCCATGGATAAGACACCCAGCTATAGCAGTTGTATGTTGCAAAGAGGCCTGTAGCCATTGCAATAGTGACCCTGCTGGAGGGTGGGGCTGAGAGTGTGGGAAGGGGCCGTGGTGTGGGTACTGCACCTGGTCACTGAGATGCAGGGGAACAGCAGCTTTCTGGGTGGTTTTCAGGATGAATGAATCGCCTCCTGGGGGAGGTCAGAGGTACCTAACAGAAAGCAAACCCCGGGGCAATGGACCACGTGCAGAGGAACCAGACTCCACCAATAGCTACAGAGTACAAAGGAATCGTGGGCCCCTCCCCCACTCCACATTAGGCTCCAACTTTCCCAGGACCTGGGGAGAGACCGCCACACAGGCGATTGTATTTTACACAGCTACTTTGTATGCCTACTTAATGCAACGATGTCACATTTCCATTTGAGGTGACCCTGAGAATGAACAGGGGTGGCCACAGACAGGAGGGTGGGCATGGCCCTCCGCTCTGGTGAAGAGTGCACAGGCAAACTATGAAAGCCATGTCCCAGAACAGAACCCTGAAAGGTGTGACTCTGCCCTAGTCAGCCAGGGAAGCCCTGAGTTCTGAGAGTTGCCACCTCCGTATGGGACGGGAATCTGTTCCCCAGGGAGGCGTGGCGACAATCGGGACGCTTCCCAGCTGTGCACAAATAAATCGTCACAGAAGACAGCTGAGCCATTTCAGATACCATCAAAAATATGCACAGCCTGTGACCTGGGACGTCCACGTCGAGGCAGAAATATGGTCACTCGGGTACATAAATACAATGTGATGTATATAAATACAGTGAAAGAAACAGGTATCCACTGAGCCGGAACACAAAAGAAAGCGGTCTGGAGTGGTGCAAGAAATGCCAGACTAAAACACTTCCATTTATTTCCCGTGAATGCAAGTGTACATGATACATAAATTAGCTCAAAACACATGCATAACTCAGGGTAAGATATAAAAAACAAAAGAAGTGTTTGCCTTTTAAAAACAACATTTCACTTTTAGAAATGAAAAGAATAATATTTTGAAGCCCAGATGTGGTGGTACACGCCTGTAATCTTAACACTTAGGAGGCTGAGACAGGAGGCTTGCTGTGAGTTCAAGGTCAGCCTGGGTTAGGTAGTAACTTTTAAGCTAGCTTGTAAAGTGAGACCTGTCTCAAACAAATGAAAAAGAGGAAAGTTACTGGGCGGGGGTGGGGATTTAGTTTAGTGGTAGAGCATGTGCCTAGCAATAACAGCTCTGGGTCCTAGCTCTCAGTCTCACAAAGGAAATAAGTAAATGCATGTATGCACAAATATTAAATACATACCAAGAAAGTCATTGTATAATTTCTTAGAGTATTAATCTTTTCCAAAAAGTGACCATTGTCGCCTGGCAGGATGGCTGCTCAGCCAGTAAAAGCATTCGCTGTCAACCTGAGGACCTGAGTTGGATTGATCTCCAGGATACATAGGATAGAGAGAGAGAGTTGACTCGAGCTGCAGGTCGTCCTTTGACCATCCCGTGCACATTTAGGAACTTTCGCACCTATGCCCAACTACACGTGCACATCTAGAAATAAGTATGTTTAAATCATAAATAATAAAATTAGAAAAAGTGACCCAGAATTCTAAGACCCGTGAAAACATCTTTCAGATCTGAAAGAGAACTTGTTCTTAGGAGAGCGATAACTGAATTTAGTTCCGGCAGGCTCACAATACAAGGAAGGTTAACGGAACATTGCACTAGACAGAAATGTGGTTCTGCACCAAGACATAGAGATAGCTAGCGATGGGATAAGTGTAGGCGTGCATGGCATGACCCTGGTCTTGTCTGTAAGTGTTCTACAAGACAGCTGATTATCTGGGGCAGAAACAAAAAAAATTCTGTAAAGATCTACTGAAGACAATGACAGCCTTACAAGCCACGGGGAGAAGGAACTACAGACGTATAAATTACATCTTAGAATACTTTTAAAGCGATACACTATCTGTTACAGGTAGACACAAGGGCATGAAATGTAAATTGAACAAGCCTGTGAGAGATGATCTTAAAGCCCCACTTTTAGTAAAAGAGGTTGCAAGGAAATGATGCACTAGAAGGTACTAATCGAAGGGGTAGAGGAAAGCCCGAAGAAATCTTTTGGGAATTAAGAATGCCTACTGTTAAGCACCAACATAGGGAGGCTCACAGCCACCTGTAACTCCAGCTCTGGCTGGTCCGAGATCTCTGGCTTCTGTGGGAACCTGAGCTCATGTACACATACCCACAGATGCTCTCACACACATACATACACACACACACACCTAAATTAAACATAACAAAAATTATTTTTTAAAAGGGCAATGGAGTTGTGTGTAAATGAGATGGTGTGGACCGCAGAGTAGCACCGTATCTTCCAGGGTAAAGAAGGAGGCACCGCAGACAAGAGCAATTCTCCCAGCCCAGCGTCACACTGGAGAATACCCACGCCTCCTCTCAGTTCACTGGTAGTGGTCATCTCTTTCACTCTGTCTCTCAGACCAAGCCCAGAGCCTCGTGCATGCTAAGCAAATGCTCTGCCACTAAGCCATATCCCTGCCTTCCCTTCTACTTTTTATTTTGAGACAGGGTCTCACTGAGCTGCCTGGGCTAGCCTTGAACTCACTCTGTAGCCTCAGCAGGCTTTGATCTTGCTATCTCCCTGTCTTGCTGGCCTGTGACTTTGAGCCCAGTTTCTCACTCTTGGAATTGGCTCCAGGACCCCTCATAGAGACTAAAATGCAAAGAAGGTCAGATATTTAAGGTGGCCTAGAGTTTGCATAGAGCCCCTGTACCCCCTCCTACATTTTTCTCCAGATGATGCATAGATGCTGCATAATATCAAATGCAATGTGAATGGCACGTGGACAGTTACATCATGGAGAGAATAATGACAGGCACATGCTCCTTACAGGTGTGATTCCCCCCACCCCAAACATTTCAGGCTTGTAGTTGGTTGAATATCTACCACAAGACTCATGGGTGCTGAGAACTGAGTATGATTGGCAGGACAAGTTAACAGAAGAGTGACAAGGCCAGAAGACCTGTGGGCAACCGCCACTTAATGTGGCCTTGCTGGCATTTACGGAACTCCCCGCCACTGATGCATTGTTTCCCAAGAGCACTATAGGATGGGTTGTATAAATAACTTGAAGCACATTTTAAAACAAAGGCTATAGAAAGTACCTTTGAGATCATAAAACACTTAATCGTAAGTCAATAGCAGAAAGGTCTCTAGAAACTTTCCCACTGTCTGGAAGTTAAGCAGCTCCCTTCAAAATAAACTAAGGGACCTGCGAGATGGCTCAGTAGGTAAGACATCAAACCTGACGACCTGAGTTCCATCCCCGGGACTCACATAATAGAAGGGGAGGACTGAGTCCCCAGGGTTGACCTCTGGCTTCCAGATGCACAAGACGGAGAAAATACTTGAAGTGGGTGGCATTGTCCTAGATCTGTCAGGTGACTGCATGGCTGCGTTCCCTTGTCAAAGCCAAGAGAACCATGTTTTCAAACTGAATTTTCCTGAATGTATAATAAGGAATGATTTGAAAAGTGGCCTGGCTGGATGCTTGTGGTGTGGCTGTTGCTGGGAGCTGGGGCTGAATAGAATTGCACTGTGCATGCGTGTCTATGTAGGTTGGTACCACGTCTTGGCGATTGTGTGCAGTGCTGGGAAAACATTCTCTCTACCGTGCTGACTTCACTTTCTCTGGGTGCGCACCGGCTGTGGGGGTCTGATTTCTTTTCTCAAGGAACCTCCATACTGATTTCCACAATGACTGTGCTGACTCGGGCTCCCCTTCTCCCCATACCTTGGCCAGCGTTGCTGTCAGTTGTAGTTAGTTTCAGCTATCAGCTTGACATGGCCCAGAAGCATCTGGGAAGAGGGACCCTCAGCTGATGAACTGCTTCCATCAGATTGGCCTGCGGCCACAATTGCAAAGTGTTTCCTTAATTGCTGATTGACGTGGGAGGGCCCTTTCCACTGTGGGTGGTACCATCCCCTAGTCAGGTGGTCATAAGACGGGTAGCCCAGCAAGCCATGGAGAGTAAGCAGTGCTCCCTCGTTGTCTCTGCTTCAGTTCCTGCCCTTGGCTGCCCTCCACGATGGGCTCGAACATGGAAGCCAAATGAACTGGTTCCTCCCCATGTTGCTTTTAGTCAGAGTTCAGTCACAGCAATAGAAGCTAACCAGAATACCATCTTTTATCTTTTTTTAAGAGTCAAATAGCTCATCTGGTAAGAAGGAGTAAAAAAGAAATCTGTGTGTGTGTGTGTTACACACGTGCACATTTCCAGTTGTGTGTTTGTTATACACATGCACATGTTCAGTTGTGGGTGTATGTGTTGCACACATGCACATGTCTAGGTGTGTGTATGTGTATTGCACATGTGCACATGCTCAGTTATGTGTATGTGTATTGAATGTGTGCACATGTACAGTTGTGTGCATATGTCTTACATACAGGCACATGTCCAGGCACCTGTGTGTGTATTGTACACATGCACTTGTCCGGGTGTGTGTGGGGGTACACATGCATGTGTGGAAGTCAGAGGTCAGCCTTGGGTGTCATTCCTCAGGCACCACCCACCTTTTATTTTTTGACAGGGTTTCTCACTGGCCTGGAGCTCACCTATCTGCCTGCCAGTCAAACCCACACATCCTCTTGTCCCCGACTCCCAGCACAAGAGCTACAAGCACACATCCTCATGTCTAGCCTTCAGCACGAATTCTGGGGAGTCAAACTCAGATCCCATGCTCGCATGGCAAATATTGAACTGACTGAGCCTTCTCCCCTGCACCAAAAGGAAACTCATAAATCTTCTCTCTCCTTGTGACTGACTGCACTGCGGTGGTCAAAAGGCCATTGACACGAGAATTCCCTCGCAGGCTTGATCTTTTGCAGAAATGAGAAGAGGCCAGAGTTACTCGACTTGCAATTATCCTCTAGACAAGAGTCCCGACCGCTGGGCACCCAGCGTCTCAATGGCTGCTACAATGTCTGTCTTGTGTTATTGGAATCTGTGGGAAGTTTCACTAATGTGTTCAACGCCTGTGCCCCAGCCGGCTGTCGGAAGCAGCCTGTATTCCAGGACCGTGACGATGGCCCCCTCAACACTGGTTCATCTTCCTGGCTTTCCCAGGACGCCCTTGAATTCCACTGCTGTCTCTCCACGGCAGTTGGCTGTAAACACCAACAAGTTCCTCCTTTGATTTGTAATTGCCATAGTCAGCCCTGCTCGTCCCTTGACCCTTTCTCCTTGAAGAAAATGAGTCCCGCCCCTCAGAAACTCTCTTGGTTTGGATCCCTATTGCTGCCTTAGGGTGTCAATGAGGTGTTCCCCCAAACTGCAGGCGACTGTATTATTGGATGAAGTGAGTGACATGTATTTACACGGAACCCCTGCGGGCGCAGGTTCTCCCCAATGACTTTCATCTGGCGAATGGCTTCACAACAGGTCTGGGCTCTCAGCCGGCTCTCAGTAGCGGGGTTTAACTCTTTTATCATTGAGCTCTTTCTGTCCAGCCTCTTTCTCTGCCACATCCTCGGCTTTCAGGACTCTCTGTGATCCATTCTTGCTCAGTTTGAGCTCATCACCCATTCCTATCTCAGATTCTTGCACCATGTCCATCACTCCTGAGGTTCCCCACCCACAAACCTCATCTTGCTCATAGCAACCATTCCTACTGCAGCGGGGAGCTGTCTCACTGTGATCTTATTTGCATTTTCCCGAGGACTGGGATATTGATTTCTTTCTTTTCTCTATCTGCTGGCCACTTTTATTTCTTCTTTTGGTAAATGTCAATTTAGGTCTGTCGCCCATGATTTAATCAGGGTACTTGGGTCTCTGGCTGTTGGGCTGTTTGAGTTTCTGGAGACTGTTTCTTGACATTAACCATCAAATAGAAAGATGTTTTATTACATTTATTTCTACATTAGCGTGTGTGCTAGATTAAGCAAGTGGAGGAAAAGGGGGAGTTGGTTCTTTCCTTCCACCATGTGAGTGTTAGAGAGCAGAGTTTGGGTTATGAGACTTGGCGGCAGACACCTTTATCCACTGAGCTGTCTTGCTGGCCCCAACACTGGGATTTGATATGCCAGCCAGCGAATGCTGTTTCCCAAAGCCCCGAGGCCTAGCCCTCCCTCAACACCCTTATCATAGAAAGCAGTGGGACAATATTCCCATGTGACTTCAGGGTGCCCCAATGAACTGATTCTAAGCACTAGAAAAGACCTCTGAATCCATACAACCTCCACTCATACCCGATCAGGTCTTGCCTCGTGCAATGTTCATGCAAACACCTTGGCTTCAGAAACAGGTGACTACAGCCCTGTCCTGTGTGATGTGAAAGTGGCCTGGGGTGGACACCTTGCTGTCTTCCCATGTCCCTCCCCCTTCCCCCCCTCTGACCACCTGGTAGCCCCCACACTGACAGTACCTGAAGTTAAGGAAGGCGCAATACAGGAAGAGGCGGTTGCTCTCATTGGTGGCATCGACATACTGCTTATGAGTCTGAAATGAAAGGAAATGGACACATCTGTGACACAGCAGGAGAGGCCAACGTCCCGGAGTGGGAACAGGATTCCTCGCGGGGGCTGAGACAGTGACTCACCAAGTGAAAGCATTTGCCATGCGGGACCTGACAACTCGATCTCAACCCCTAAGCCCAAATGAAAAACCAGATGTGGTGGTGCGCATCTGTAACCCTGGGGTCCCTGTGGCAAGACGAGGACAAGAGAGGTGAAAGCTGTGAGCCAGCTAGCCTGGGTACATGGCACAGTTCCTAAATAAGAGAGAGCCTGCCGCGACAAGGCGGAAGGCGAGAACTCTGACTCCCGAACGCCATCGCTGCCCTTCACACCTGTGCCATGGCACGCACATGCTAGCATCAACACGCACAGGTGTCAAAGGGTTTTTAATTAGTGCCGTTCTTTAAAAAGGTTTTCCAAACTTTAACATGTGCGTGCGCACGCATATATGCGTCTGTGCATACACACGTGAGAGTGCGGTGCCCGCGGAGGTCAGAAGCGGGCACTGGATCCCCTAGAGCTAGCTATAGGCGGTTGTGAGCCACGTGAGCCACGGGCGCTGGGAACGGAACTTGGATCTGCTGCAAGAACAGCACCAGCATCTCTCCAGCCGCATTAAAAAAGCTGTTCTTGCCGGGCGTTGGTGGCGCACGCCTTTAATCCCAGCACTCGGGAGGCAGAGGCAGGCGGATCTCTGTGAGTTTGAGGACAACCTGGTCTACAGAGTGAGTTCCAGGACAGCCTCCAAAACAATACAGAGAAACCCTGACTCGAAAAACCAAAAAAAAAAAAAAAAAAAGCTGTTTTTGTTTTTTTTTTTAATTTCCCCAAAGATCTCTCACATCCTGAGCATCCAGGGTGCCTGGGACAAAACTGGAGACACCAAGAGACCAGAATGAACTAATTCTAACTACACTCCTCAAGGACTTCCCCAGATCAGCACCCGCAGACTGCCAGCTCTCTTATCAGTTCATAAACAGCCTGCACGGGTGAGGGAGACAACCAGGGCGCTATTGAGTTCCCGGGTATGAAGAAGGACGAACTCTGGGGAACGGCATGGGAACCTGGAATTAGAACCACTTGCCTCAGAAGGCAAAAGAAGGGTTTTTCTGCCATCCCTCTTCCTAGATACCACACATCTATAAGGCACTCAGAGAGAAGGTTTAACACAAGGAACCCAGAGTGCTCCATGCCTGCATCCATGCAGCATTCGACAGCTTCTGGTTACCCAGTGATGGAGAAGCAGGAGGAGGCAGAGCCTGCACAAGAGCCCGCGGAGGGCAGATGACAAAGTGACACTGAGCCGGAAGTTAGAAAGGACAACCTCGGTGACAGCTGGGTCAGGAGAGGACAAGTCTCTGCTGGAATAGGACCCCCTGTTTGATATCTCTCCTGGACTCAAACTGCACAGAAATGTCTAAGAGGTACATCTCTGTGTCACTCGGGTCATTTAGAAGTATTTAAAGCAAGCAGGTGGCCAAAGGAAGCCAGCCCCAGGCCCCATGACACAAGAGATATGGACTCTAGGGGAGCAGTCGGAAGACTGTCTTCTCATGGGTGGTTTACTTCTGCCCCTTCCGCCCCGGAGACCAGAGTCTAAATCATCCTTCAAAGGAAAAAGTGCAGCTGGCCAGTGTGAAAAAAAAAAACAACAAAAACCCAAGTGTGTGTGGTCCATAAGGGAGCGGTAGACTAGCCTTCTTGGGTCTGGGGCCAAGGTCACAGCCCTGACTAGGAATTCCCTGCCCAGCTGGTCCTCAGGCTCTGTCCCAGGCTCAACAATTGAGCTGGGAAAAGTGAGTTGCTTGGAACTTTTTAAAAAAGGAAGCCTTGCCATTTCCAGAGAGATTCTAGCATATGGGAATGCGGCTGTGCCAAAGAAAAGGTGAGTCACCTCAAGCAGCCCACGTTCTACTTGCAGAGGACCGTGGGAGGCCAACAGCTCATCCAAGTCCCAGTTGCCCGGGACCGGAGAGAAAAAAAACATGTCCGCAGGTCAGCAGGATGCTGGGCATCCGGAAGGGCCTGCCAGGGTCTCTGTGAAGATCCTAGCAGAGAACTCCGGGACCATCCCACACAAGCCCGATTGTCTCCCCCTCCTCCCACCACACCTGCTGTGTGTCCAGAGCTACTCAGAGGCTGCAGAATAGCTCCTGCAATTCCTCAGGCTCCCTCCACCTCTGGAGAGAGCCTCCCAGTGGGATTAGCCGACCAATTACTCACCCCCTGCTGCTTATAGGTAAAGTGTGGTCTTCTGAGCATGAAAGGGAAGGAAATATATCTGAGAAGTTCCCTTAACACCCCTTGTTCGGACATGTGTTTGCTTTATGTTTTAGTGTGTAGCTTTACCGATAAAGAAATTGGGAGACACTTCCTTATCGCTGTACCCAAGCAGAAGGCAGATGGCACCATCACCATGGTCCTTGATTCTGACCCTCAGCAAGGCACAGACCAAAATAGCCGCATCCCAGCATAGAACCAGACACCGGCAGAGCCTAGCGGTGGGCCCACTCTGCTCTTGCTGTTTCTTTACTCCCTACAGGCTTTTCCCCAGCAACTCAGGCCCAGCTCTGAATGACAAAGGGTCTCACAAGACAGAGGCTGGATGGTCTCTGGTTTCGGAGAATCTTCTGATAGCCCTTCATAGCCCAGGAAAGCCCTGGTATGGAAACTGAGGACAGGCCACTGGGATGGGCCACCCTGACAGTAGGAGGGAAAGGTCAAGCTAGGCAACACCCAGAAGCCTGAGCCATCGGCCAACAGTTTAATAATTAATATGTCTGTGTGCTCATTTGCGCTGAAGGGCGGCGGGACTGGCGGGGCAGAAATTCAGATTGCAACACCCTGTCTGCGCCTTGTACTCAATGGCTCTGTCCGTTCCAAACCCACCATCTGCGTGTCTGCTGCCTGATTTGGGGCTCTCTTGTCCCAAGCAGAGAAGTAGGAAGAGACCCCCTACTCCCACCTTGGGAAGTCAAGGACCCCCACAGACCAAGCACTACACTCTGGGACATCAACTCCATAACCAGGGTGCACATATGTCTCATACACTTGGTGACAGCATGCATTTCCCCTTAGCAACATGTCACGTGTGGGCCTCGGTCCTACAGAAGGGCCACCCTCACCTCTTGACACACATCTTTGCTTCAGGTGCAGCTTCCTGTGACTGCGTCAACACAGCATCACTGCCATGGGACCACGCCACAAGGAATGCACCAGGTCAGAGAGAACAAGACCAGCCTCTGTTCCAGAGGGCCTAGAAATGGACGTCTGCATAACACAGAATTCAGGTTTCAACCTCCTCGTGGCCAGTGTGGGACTTTGGGGTCTGAAGACAACCCATCCCTTCAGCATGAGGTAAATTGTAAACCATGTCCCTCCAGGGCTTCCCCAGATCAGCACCCGCAGACTGCCAGCTCTCTTATCAGTTCATAAACAGCCTGCACGGGTAAGGGAGACAACCAGGGTGCTACTGAGTTCCTGGGTATGAAGAAGGATGAACTCTGGGGAATGGCATGGGAACCTGGAATTAGAACTACTTGCCTCAGAAGGCAACAGAAGGGTTTTTCTGCCATCCCTTTTCCTAGGTACCACACATCTATAAGGCACTCAGGGAGAAGGTTTAACATAAGGAGCCAGAGTGCCCCGTGCCTGCATCCATGCAGCATTCGACAGCTTCTGGTTACCCAGTGATGGAGATGCAGGGGGAGGCAGATTGTGCACAAGAGCCCGTAGAGGCTGGTCAAGATGGAGCCAGACGCTGGGCAGGACGACCCTGGTGAGAGCCGGGCCAGGTGAGGATGTGTCTCTAATGGACCAGGATCCCTGTCCTTGAACTTTCCTCTGGACCCAAAGTAACCTTCTACCATCCCGAGTAGGCCAGACCCATAGTCTGGTCTGGGACACAGGGAGGGGTCCTGTCCAGGGTAGAGGACATCTGAAGATGCCTCTGGGGACAGGTTGCATCCTCTACAGTGGCTCCAATCCATCTCCCTCAGGCCTCCCTCTTTCACACCTAACCCTCCCATTTTCCAATGGGCGGTGCCCACTTTCGTACTGGCCACACCCCTTCTTATCTGGCGTACAGGTGTGTGGTCTGAAGGAGACCAGTCTATGTGGGTGCTTCCTGCGGTCGCACACATGCTACCATCCCACCTCGTTCAGCTGCCACGCGGCCACCGGGCCCCCCGCAGCTCAGGCGGCCGCCCGCTGACCCCCCACAGCCATTCCTGCTCTTGCTCCCCATCCTCCCACCTCCGGCCTCGTCCTTTTCACCGCACGAACCCAGTCCCGTCCACACGCACGCAGGGCCCGATGGGAAAGAGGAACCTCGCACGCCTGAGGGATGAAGGCCACCCTCCCTCTTCTCTGCACACTCTTGTGTCTGATAAAGCCCACCCTTTCCCAAGGTGTCAAAGCCTCAGAGCAGGCTCCACCCTCAAAACCACCCCGTTCCATACAGTGCCCATCACCAGATAGGCGTGTTGTACACACAGAGACTTATGAGAACCAACGGTTACTCTCCTCGCTGTGGGCGCCCATGAGAACCACAGCCATGCCATGTGATCTGTCCGTGACACAGTTACAGAACAATAGACGGATGGGAAGGTGACTTGGGTATAGGTTAGGACAGTGAAATGAGGAGGGGCCCTCAGAAGATCATCTGTCTTCTCAGGTGACTCCAGCTATCCATGGTGACATCTGATCAGTATCCATTTCCCAATTCTTGCTGACAGAACCAGTTTTTCTCAGGATGGCAGTGTGACCCTGAGTCTGTCTATCTAGCACTTACTACCTCATCCTACATTGCAGGGGGCAGAGGGTCAATCTTCCCTAACTCACTAACAAACGCACTCATATACTCATACTATGCTCACATCTGGCCTTGCTGGCACTCCTATATACTCTGGCCTGCTCCTTCCTCCTCTCAGACACCAGCCTGGACCCCTAAGGGACAGAGTCAAGTGTAGGTCAGACCCATAG